TACTGTGATGAAAGCATCTTCACATGAAAAACATTCAAAACAACAATGGAAAAAAAAAAAAGTTCAGACCCATGGGCAAGGTCTGGGAGAGGCCTGGCAGGGGACATGGGTCTGAACTTTTTGTTTTCTTGGTTTTTCCATGGTTTTTTGCAGTTTGGCCAAAAACCTCGAGAACACAAAAAGAAAAGTTCAGACCCATGGGCAAGGTCTGGGCTATCCACACACAAACCAAAAAACCAAAAAAACAAAAAACCAAAAAACCAAAAAAACAAAAAACCAAGAAACCAAAAAACCAAAAAAACAAAAAAAACAAAAAAAACAAGATTGCACACCCCAAGGGGAGGGGGTCAGATGCAGAGTGTTGGGTCTTGTCTTTTTGTTTTTTTTGTTTTTTTTGTTTTTTTGTTTTTTTGGTTTTTTGTTTTTTTTGTTTTTTTGTTTTTTTGTTTTTTTGGTTTGTGTGTGGATAGCCATTGCAGATGTGCCAAGCAGAAATTGCCAGGCACTGTCAGTGGTTGCACTAGAGGTCGGGCAGGCAAAAACCAAAAAAACAAAAAACCAAAAAACAAAAAAACCAAGAAACCAAAAAACCAAAAAACCAAAAAAAACAAAAAAAACAAGATTGCACACCCCAAGGGGAGGGGGTCAGATGCAGAGTGTTGGGTCTTGTCTTTTTGTTTTTTTTGTTTTTTTTGGTTTTTTGTTTTTTTGTTTTTTTGGTTTTTTGGTTTTTTGGTTTGTGTGTGGATAGCCATTGCAGATGTGCCAAGCAGAAATTGCCAGGCACTGTCAGTGGTTGCACTAGAGGTCGGGCAGGCAAAAACCAAAAAAACAAAAAACCAAAAAACCAAAAAACCAAGAAACCAAAAAACCAAAAAACCAAAAAACCAAAAAAAACAAAAAAAACAAGATTGCACACCACAAGGGGAAGGGGTCAGATGCAGAGTGTTGGGTCTTGTCTTTTTGTTTTTTTTGTTTTTTTTGGTTTTTTGTTTTTTTGGTTTTTTGTTTTTTTTTTTGGTTTGTGTGTGGATAGCCATTGCAGATGTGCCAAGCAGAGATTGCCAGGCACTGTCAGTGGTTGCACTAGAAGCAAGGTCGATACACTACAGTACAGCAATGTTTGCTATGACATAGTGCATTCAGCCAATGAACAGCAGAGAGGAATGAAATTCAATTTTGTCCGGTTGCGCCATATGCTGTTGGATCTTTGCACAGGAAATGCTGCAATTTGCGCACTCCCACAGTGGCCTGTTCTGTTAAAATACCCATAAAATCATATATATTTATCATCCACCAAAAAACACCAGGTTTACCAGAGGGTAAATCACCATTAATCACCATTAAAGCACCATTAATCACCATTAAAGCACCATTAATCACCATTAATCACCATAAATCACCATTAATTCACCATGAATCACCATTAAATCACCGTTAATCACCATTAAAGCACCATTAATCACCATCAACTAAGTCACCATATTTACCCAGCTATAAAATGGTGATTTCCATGATTTTCCATGGTTATGGGACAGTTTACCAGTTATAGTTATTATATAACTATGGGATAAATCATATAATTATGGTTATATTTTATAGTTGAAATTACTATAATTATATAACCCCAAGTCAAAACCCCAACGGCCTCAACGACTCGAGGCTTCTCCTTTGGGGCTGCGCAGTCCGTGGCTGGGGAGGTAGTTTTCAACACCGGCATTGCGCCTGGGAGCTGAAAATCAATGCGTTTGGTGGGTTTTTACGGTGGTTTTTTATGGGATAAACATGGAAAAACACGAGGTTAGTGTGGTTTTATATGGTTCTACTGTGATTTTAGATGGTTCTACAGGGTTTTTATGATGGGATGATTTACTGGAAAACTCAATGCTTGGAGGGTCATCGGATCCTTTAGCTGGTGAGTGTTTAAGTGGGCTTGTAACCCACTGAACGGGGACAGTCTCGGACTAGGCTTCTTCACCAGTTATTTCTTGGATTAACCAGAGGATTTAATGGGATATAATGGGATATTTATGTACATATATATATATATAGAGAGATATATATATATATATACATAACCAGCTTGATATGACATTTTTGTGTCAGGAAATGGGTCTGTGTGACCCCCAAATGGCCTCAATTTTTCATCGGCAAATTATGACTCAGTTTTTTTTAACATTCACCAATGGATTTAGGGATGCCACCCCCTTAGAAACCATGGTTCAGTAGGGAAGTTCCGGAAGTTCCACATAATTGGGACCATGCAATTGGGGTGTTTCATATTAGGGTGAAGGGATTACTATCCAATGGGTTAGGAGGGATCTGAGGAGCTATGAACATCCACATTCCCCCATGGGGAGCCAGTTGGAGCCAGAGTTTCCGAAGCACATGATAACATGATACTGGGTAAAACGATGGGAAATTCAATGAATTCAATGGGTTCAGAATCACACACACACACACATATATATATATATATACATAGACATACGACACTTATAACGGGAACAGTTGGTGATCAACCTTTGGTAAAACCTCCAACTAAGTGGGCTATTTCTCAGAGCTATGTGAATTCGCCAAGAAGGGTATACTGTAGAAGCAAATATGGGGAAAAGGGGATCATGAATAATATGCAAATATTGGAAGTTACATTTAGTGGGTGTCCGTCATGGGACTGATGCGTAATATGTAATATGTGCGGATGGTAATGATGATCATGATAATTCTATGATACAGGGATAAAGGATGATAGTCTTAATAGTTTTATTCATGATGTCTGATATGAATCAGAATTGAGCTGTAGTTGATATGATTTGATACATCAAGGATGACAATTGATGGTAGGCACACTGTAAATTACATAATTCTATGATCCTAGTAGTGGTATTCTGTCCTGCTATGTCCTGCTTATAGATTATAGATGATGATTATGCTTGTTAAGACAAGTATTTTGGAATCTTGTTAACCTTAATTTATTGGATTGCAATAACAACTGTGATTTAACCCAGAAACATTGGGATTTAACCTGTGCTCGTGGATTCAGAAGGGCTTTTCTCGCTATGAACATGTTTTTTCCGATACGGATACTCTATGGATACTCTCATGGATCCAAGTAGCTCCTCACAAAAAACGGGGCAGGTTTTCGAGTCAACTGCCTTCTTAGGAGGCATCTAACTCTGCAGAGGAGAAGCACCCTGAGAGAGTGATGATATTCTTAGATTTGCATATATTTGTATACACTTGCCAAAATAAAAAGATATAAAACAATATGCGATTTCCTGTTGCTAGATTAATTAGATTGCATTTTGAGTGGCATGAATTACGGCGTGAATTCCCGAGTTTTGAGGCTTAGATTGCCATTGTTGAAGCTTAAACCGCCATTCCAAACAGCCCTTTTGAAATACACAAACAGAGATAGATATATACATATTGACATCATTTCTATGACCCTCAATGCCAGCCAAAATGCTACAAGGGTCAGTATTTGAGGGATACCATATATATATATATATAATTATATATATATATATACATGTGTGCCTATTTATTACTATTTTTATCCATATCTATACCTATATCTATACATCTATTTTTCCATATAGCGATATACCTATATCAATATCTATACATCTATGTATCCCTATATATATATATACACACATATATATATACATATATATATATATACACATATATATATATTTATATTTATATATGCGTGTGTGTGTATTCCATGAAGAGTTAGACAGTCATCCTCTTGGCAGGTGGCCTATCCTGAGAGCTTGACGGATCCCAGCTATGCGGGGCAGATCTTGGTGATCACCTATCCACTGGTAGGCGGGGAACCACCGAGGGCACCGGGACCCTATCGATCCGTGGCTGGTTTGGGACACGAACCAGACAAATCCAGATGGATTTAGGACATTGATCAATATGAGCTATATAAATCATTAAAGATAGTTCTATCATTAAACTATGTATATATATATAAATTGATCAATATATAGTTCTATCATGTTCTATCATTCAAAAAACCATAGTGAACCAGCTTATATTCACCAACTTAGCCTCAAGGGCCTCACCCTGTGGTGATGCAGAGGTAACTATGGTGTTCCTTCAGACGAGAAGGATGAACTGAACCTGCCGAGATGGTTTGAGAGTCATAAGACCCTGGGAGAAATATCACGACTGGTTGGTGGTTTGGAACATGGCTTTTATGACTTTCCATATATTGGAAATGTCATCATCCCAACTGACGAACTCATATTTTTCAGAGGGGTAGGTATACCACCAACCAGATGAAACTATCATGAAAATCATGAAATGTTTAGGCCGCGGTAGCAGGTTTCGATATTTTGCGGGAGGGGAGGACAACTCTCCCAGTTGATGGGGCAGTGGTCGGTGTGGTCCGTGTGGCATATCTTATGTAGCCGAATCTAGCCATCATTATTTGGTTTATGTTACACCGCTTGGTCTTTGATTCTACTATCCACAGGTGATACACAGACATATATAGGTCCAAGGTATATACATAATGCACCAGAAGTCGCAGGTGCAAGGATATTGAGACTTCCTCCACTATCTACTGCAGGTACCGAGTTTAGATGCATATATGTATATATATATATACATATATATACACATAAGTACAGCGGGCGCATGTAGCAGATATGTCCAGAATAGTCAGAGGGGGTCTCCTCAGCCATAATGAAAGAGATTACATCCCAACTTATGGTGGTTGTATCCCTCATTCTACTGCTTATATCCATAAGCTAAATATACAACCTTTTGTTTGAAGATAGGGTGCCCCTAGTTCCCTCTACTTCCAACGAATTATAGCATTCAATTTCGCCGAAGTGCCAAATTTCTTGGCTTTTTATTTCCATATGTTTGGACCCAGATCTCGATCTCAGGATCCATCTCAAGGGTGTGGTGATCTCGGACTACTCCTACGAACCCTCGCACTACAGCTGCATCCGCACGCTGGGCGAATGGTTGGCCTCCCAGGGGATTCCGGGGATCTACGGTGTGGACACCCGGCGCCTTGGCCGAATGTTTTCTGAATCAACTTTTTGGGTAAAGCATGTTAAGAGGGGCCATAGAACATCATAGAATCCAACAGTAATAATTTTGTAAATAAGATCGGCTGGACTCTAGATATTCTCAAGTCTGGGTATCCATGAAACTGCCTGAAACCATCAAACCCTCCGATTCCCTCCCATTCCCTCCCCATGTCCCACCGGCTGAGGACGATCACGAAGCTTATTCGCCAGAGCGGCTCCATGTTGGGAAAGCTGCTGGTGCAGGGCAGCACAGCTTCCAACCAGTTGGCCCTTGATGATCCAAATCTGCGAAATCTGGCCGCCGAGGTGAGGGATGAATTTCTGAAAGCAACGAGTGGTGAAGACAGTTGTGAACACGTTATTATGTCTATGTCTAATATATATATATATACACATTCACCACTTATTACTATTGTTCAAACAAAAACATGTTACTACTTAATTATTGATATTTTTTGGTTCCAACATCGCTGTTCTTCAATCTTCATTTTACAGTGGATAGTTACACAAAAATAAACCATTAAAGTCGATAGTTTCAAAACTGCGTAACATTACGGTGGATAGTTATCAAATCTTGCAACACTGCAGTGCATAGGTAGGGGAAAATAGTCCATGACGGTGGGTACTTATAACATCTTACAACATTACATTGGATAGTTTGAACAACTTACATCATTAATTACAGTGGATGATCAGAACAAACTTATAACTTATATAACATTACAGTGGATAGTTAATGATAAGTTATAGAATCACATATTTTCTTATCTTATTGTCACCATTCTTTTGATCAGTCACCCAGGTCTCGCGAAAGGAGAAGGAGATTTTCAGCCCAAAGGAACCCAATGCGAAGCTGAAGCGACAAGTGCATGTCCTGGCGGTGGATTGCGGCATCAAGAACAACATCATCAGGTGAGAAAAATGCCGGGAAAAAGCCCATAGATATACCATGGCTAATACCCTCTGGTAAAATAACAAAGCTATGGAAAATCACCATTTTATAGCTGGGTAAATCCACTATAAATGTGCCATTCTCAATAGCTATGTTAAAATACCATAGGTAATAAATCTTAGTCTTAGTTTACGGTAAAGCCGATGCCATAAACATCCATAGACCATCCCCAAGTTTTGGCAACGCTATAAATTGGGTAGCCAGCTCTGGGATGATGTAACGTGAAGCCCTTGCGGGTGAACGTCAGCCCCACATGTCGGATGTCTGATTGTTTTGGGATCTCCTGTTGGAATTCACAAAATTTTCCTGGATCGGGAAAAGCATGTTCCCAGTTTTGTTGGCTAGCCGATATCACCATATCACCTCCACTTTTTTCATGCTAAGTGTCAGTCCTCCACTTCTGCCAGGCCGTGTTTTTTGAATACCAATACCACCCTGAACATGGGACATAGTGATTTCCTTCCCTAAAATGGGACATCACTTGACCAAGATTTTGTGGTCATACCTGGGATTCAACCGCTTACTGAATGTTAAAAATGATGTTAACACACTATTGTGTATTATATATTGGTTGAATCCTCATTCTTGTTGGTTACATCATAGTTACATCCCTTTTTTTTAGGTTAAGAAGCCTTTTTTTACCAGCCATTATTATTGGTTGAATCCAAAGTCTAGTGTTTTTTTTTGGTGCTGATCGGTTACAAGATGGATTCCAATGGATTCCTGCTGATTTTCCATCAGAGGTATCTGGTCAACAAGCTGGGTCTCCGTGTGACGGTGGTGCCCTGGGATTACGACTTCACGCAGGAGGACTTCGACGGTCTATTCCTGAGCAATGGCCCCGGGGATCCCACCCAATGTGCCCAGACGGTGGAGAACGTCAAGTGCCTCTGAACGAACTAAGCAGCGATAAGCAGCGCAGGGCGCAGGCTGGGGTTAAGGAGATCGGATAGCCACAACGTGATTTATATCGGGGGCATACCTGGTCTACCATGAATTTTAACAATGGGGATTCAGGTGGTTCAACATGATTTTATGTGGCAAAAAATAGGGATAAATTCCATGGAAAATCATGGGAGAATGCCCGGCATGCCCCGGCATGTGGCATGATGTAAAATTTCCCCCCAAATGGCTGGTTAATGGGATGTTTTTTTTTTTTATTTTAATGGGTTTTATCCCATGAATGGGTGATTTGACCATCCAAGATTACCAAAGGCAATGGAACATCCAGCATTTCTAGATGATGTGAAAACATTAAGCCACGGTTGACGGCACTTATTTCGGGGACCTTTCTTGGCGTTGATGATCCCATGAACCTTGTCCTTCCAGTTCTAAACCAAACTTAGCTATCATAAATCAGCTGTAAATCCTATGACATCTCCATTTTTCGGGCTTTTCCATGACAATGACCATACGTTCCCTGTTGGTTGCGTGACCCACGCCATTCCCATATCCAGCAAGACCCAAGGTACATCATGAAGCACCGCCCTTCTTTGCCCATCTTCGGCATCTGCCTGGGCAATCAGATCTTAGCCCTTGCCGCAGGGGCCACCACTTACAAGATGAAGCGCCGTGGCCTTTAAAGAACCAAGCAGCAAAAATGACTGGCACAAGTAACCAACAGAAATATGGTGGTTTTAAAGCATGTAACATGTTTTAACGAATGTTCTATTTTCGTTTTCACCAGCGAAAATGAAGGTTATTTGACCCAACATGAGGATTTCACCAGCCAAAATGGAGGTGTCAAACGATCCAAATATTTTTTTGGATCGGCCAAAAAAGCAATGAATTGAGAAAACCTGGGTTTCAAGCAGAGAAATCACACACGCGCGCACACAGACACACATATAATGTATATATATATATAGATATAGAGAGTTCAACTGCAAAACTGTTGCTGTTGGTTTGACATGGTTCGACCAGAATATACGGGGAGATACTTTTTGGTCATTTCAGCTGGCTGGCTGGGAATTACACATTTCCAAATAGGAGAATTAGGAGACAATCGCCAGGTTAGGGTCACGAGAGGACTGCCCAGTTGACGGCGAGAAATGCTTGCCACTTGCACCATGGCCCATTGTACGGTGCTGAAAATTGAGTGTTTTAGCATGTTTTTGGCCAATGAAGGCACCTGAGTTCAGCCCTTATTTCAGCGCCATGGCTGCTTTAGCGCCATGGCAGCGCTGAGGTTTGGAAATCGTGGCATGAACCAGCCAGTGGTGGACTTGCGAACGCAGAGGTGTTACATCACCTCGCAGAACCACGGCTTTGCGGTGGATCAGCGCACCTTGCCGGACGGGCCCTTTTCGGGGCAGGGAAGTCGTTTGACGGTGGTGACGACTTGGAGATTTTGGTGATCCGTGAGATGTTGCTTCGTTATGCCATCATGATGCCAAAGATCCTGTAGGATCTGTAGGCACTTCTCTTGAAGCAAGAGACATCCTTGGGTTTTTTTCAGCTCCACAGTTGGTGCCCGTCCGGACTTCAAACTCAGTGTCCTTTGCACCCCCTTTTTGATGGGAGATCTGAACTCTGAACATGTCTTTGTTAGTCATGGGTTTGTCTGAAAATGGGGTGCACACCAGCAATCATGCCCATTTTATGGGACAACATATGGCAAGCAAACAGCTTCAACACCACCAACTTTATGGAGGTTTTCTCAACATTTTCAGACCAACCCACTTGATTCCCTCCCAAGAAATGCTTCATTCTTTGAATTAATGAGATGAGCTCTCAATGAGACCATCGACCTCCCATGCAACCGACCATTGATGCCTGATTTCCAATCACTTGGGATATTCCAAGGACTGTCCCAATAGATTGCTGTAGAATTACTAGAAACTTCAGGGCGAAAAAACGCATGATTTACCACTAGATGGCTACGAAGGTTTTCACCTATAGTCCCAAGATTTGAAGAACATGAAGATCCATGTGCCAGCTAGATCTACCCTCTGGTAAACTGTCCCATAACGAACTGGAAAGATCCACCATGTTCAATGGGAAAACTCACTATTGACGGCTGGGCCAGGAGAGCTGGGTACCGTTGATGGTGAACGCCAACGATGGCACCAATGAGGGCATCATCCATTCCTCCAAACCCTGGTTCTCAGCACCTTGGCTTCAGACGGAGTTCAGGGTTGGATGGCAGGTCTTTCCATACTTTCCTCGACTCGAATGGCTGGTTAGTGTCAAATAAAAATGGGATCATTTGGATTCATTTGGGATGATATTCCACTATTTCTGCGTTTGGGATGTGGTTTTCAACCAGCAAAAATAGGGTTTCAAGCGCAAACATGTCATTTTCAACAAACAAAACTTGGAAGTGGCAAAGATTACATGCCTAGCCTAGCAGCGAAATGCCAAGAATTGGCTTTGACCACGGGAGAATACCCTCTTGCAGTTTGAAACCTGTTGAAGAGAACTCCCCATTTTTGTGGTTTTTATGAATAAGATCATCTATGATTGGGCACAGTTAAGTTTGAACTTCATGACCCATAGCTGCCATAGCTACTAACAGGTCCGACCACGACAATGGAGCAATGGAGTTTTTTTTTGGTCATATTCACAAAGGGTCTGTGGAAAATATGATGATGGACATTAAAAATACCCTCTGGTAAACTAACATAGCTATGGAAAATCACTAGTTTTAATGGGTAAATCCACTACAAATGGCAATTTTCAATAGCTATGTTAATTTACCAGAGGGTATCATTTTTCGCATTGCACATGAGGTTCTGAGCGAATTCCCCTGCCTACCACATCGTTTGGGGTCTTCAACTTCCCTATTCATCAGGATGTGCTCAGACGCTGAATGGTCATCCTGATTTCTGGATGATAGGGCAATTTACAGTTGAAGCCCTAAATTTAGAAACACCATGGTTTCCAGTTAATAAGTTCCCTTAAAATAGATTTAAAACATCAACCGAGTTTCTTTTGTTCCTGATCTTAGACGGATGTATTTCGTCCGCAGGTTGTTGGCCAGAGTTTTGACCTCTTCTTCAACGGATGGGGTTCTCTAATGAAATATACATTAATCATCTGATATAGATCTTTTTGATTCTTTTTGCCTTGTATAGATGTCATTTTTTCATATTTTTTCCCTCACGGTTTCTTTTCAGCTCGACCATGTCATTGGTTTCAACAACTTTCTATATAACTTTTATCCCACATCTGGGAGGGCTGCTTTTTGGCTCGTTGCTGGCCAAGATATCAACTTGAACAGTGTTTTAGTCACCCAAACATGTTTTGGGGACTGCATGACCAAATTCGGCTAGGTAAAGCAGCTAGTTGAACAAACTAAAACATTCCAATTGCCATGGTTTTAATATATCTAAATATGTTTTCATCATCAAGCATGGCGACGCGAAGATCAGTGTCTCAGAGATACATAGTGCCAAACCCCCAAAAGTTCCCCCCCCAAGGATGAGGCCCAAACAAGTGGACCATCCTACTATAGACATCTATAAAACTCGTGTTTTTGTTCCCTCATTTTTTCAAGGGGATTGCCTCTGGTAGGATTATTGACCGCCATCAACCCTCTGCAGGTGCAGTTTCATCCTGAGGAGCCGGGGGGTTGGGGCAACTGCTTGATGGAGATTACATAGGAAGTACAGTAATGGGGGTATAGAGAACGTATGAAAAAACGGTTTTTACCCTCCGGTATTATAACAGCTTGCAATGGAAAACCACCATTTCTATGAGATTAAGCAGATACAAACGGGCCATTCTCCATAGCTATCTTAGATCACCGAGGGTAAAGCTGCAATTAGAAATGGCATAACCAGACTTGGGTCAAGATCAGGTAGTGACCAGACACTGTAGGAATGGCATCCCAAAAATGTGTAAAATGTAAGGGCGCACTGAGAGCCATTTGATAAACAGTTTAACACACCGCGATCATTTCCGTTTTCCCGCTTTTTAACAGATGAACAGAACAAAACATAAGTTGCCCGATACAACTCGGTGCCCGATCCTGTCAGTAGCTGCGGCTTGCACCCACAAGTGTAGGTTTCCCAAATGCTTCAAAAATTCGCTGGGAGTACGCTGCAAAATAAGACGAAGATTAGGTTTGCAATAACTTAACGTTCATTCAACGACGGTTCGCGCAACATGATGATGACGGTAACAGCTCAAGAAGAAAAGATGATCGCCTTGGAGAATCATCCCGCGTAGTAGGTGCATGGTTAGTGCGCGCAAGCAAGGTTGTGCATTTTGCTACCTAAGATCTGGCGCCGTCATTGGGAAATTGGGGTTGGAGGCTTGCTTATCGCGCGCATGCCATCTTATGTCTCTCAGTTGGGGTAGTTGCTGGGTTTGCATGAGAGGCCGCAATCACATTGGGGACGCGTTGTTTTCCAGCATGATTGTTCGTTTGGGTAGAGGCTGTGGGCTTCAGCCCGGCTAATCAGAACCTTGGAAAGGACAACAGATGAAAACTGCTTTCCAAGAAGTTGGCTGGATGAGCTGTAAACCTTTGGTTTCACCCGCCGTGTTTTGGTTTTCCGTTGTCAAAGGGGGGCCTGTGGCTTAATAACAATTACGAATGCGAGCCCCTTCTTCAATGGAATGCTTGAATGCCGTGCTGCGATGCCCAGGTTGATTTGAAGCCAGGGCTATTTTATTTCATTCTCGCCTAGGTACAGGGGCAGAGCAGGTTTGAACATGGTGGTTTAACGACACACCAGGTCTTGTGCAGAATCCTTCGTCCCCTTTGATTGGTTGAAGTCTTTTTACAGTTACCAGCACTGGCGTGGCGGCCCGTGTGTCATCCTGGTTTGTTGGCAACTGGCAACAATAGCATGGTCCCAGCTTCGGCGTTTGATATGGTTTGAGGATTGTTCCCCGACGTGTAGAAAACACGGGCGGCGCAACTGTTTATTAGGTGGTGTGTGGTTCAGTAGTTTGGCGATATGAAAACGGACGGACGGACCCATCCTAGCCTTGTTTGTTTCGAGCCTAAGTCTCTTGATATCCAAAGGACTCCTTGTTTTGCCATTTCGTACTGATAGCGGCCTTACCAGAACCCTTGCCATGATGGGAACCAAACCAAATAATTGTTTTCAAACTCTTGAAGTTGTAGGTTGAGGAAAATCACGGTAGCTCCTCGCGGGCTACCTTGAGTTTTACTCTATGGAGTAAAGGGGAGGCTCCTAACTCATAAGTGCCGATTGATCACACCAAACAATATTACTTTCACTTCTTGCCCCCCGCCCCTCCTCCTACTCCCCTACATTGTTTCCCGCCACCAAATGGTATTCGCCATCTGGGCTCCTGGTCTGCTCGCACCCAATTTGGAGTGGTGCGTGGTTTTCGTTTTTAATTTAAGTGCCGCCCTTTCTTTTTTGAGTCTCCATCTTGGCCGCCTGCCTTTCGTGTTCCCCTTCTCAAGTTTTTTGATTTATGCATTTGTATGGTTGTAGTTGTAGGTTGCAATTGAAAACCATGCGGCCCGGAGATTTCCTTCGGACTGTTTCCTTTTTGTCCGGGATAGGATTTATGCCAATATTTTTCTTGATGATATCCTACCCCTTTAGCGTTGGATAATGTTGGCATGTGCCAGTGATCGTCGGCAATCTAAGTCGGCAAATTGGCCACATCTCGCATCTCTTGCCTGTATGATGGGTAAACATCGTTTTTTCATGTTTTTTTCTATATATATACAGTATAATATGATAAACACCAACAAACAGCAAATCATTTTACCCTTGGATCAACTTTGGGCTATCACCACCATATGAGTAACAGACAAAATTAGCGGAAAACTAAAGTAGTGGCGGGGGTTGGACATGGGATGTTCAAATCGGTGCGAAAACATTCACAACTGATAGGGGACCACCCACTTTCCATACCCTATTTTTGCACATAACATGGAAGATAGGGGACTACCCACTTTGGCCGTTTTCATTGCGGGGAGCAAGTGATTCTGTCGGCCAGTGCTGAAATGAATGCAACCGTTTGACTTTCAGGCTAAATTTGAGAACAATGCATATGGACTTGTCTCAAAATGGAAAATGCACCCCAATATGAGAATTTCAATGGGGAAAACAATGTTTTTACGCACTGGCAATCTAACATGGAAATGGACAATTCTGAGTTCATAGATGAATTTACCATTTTACCTCCAACCATGATAGCTGAAAAAGATGCATTTCCCTGTGATAGATGAATTTCCCACTTGAGCTGAGAGCTGCCCATTGAGTTTGGTGATTTTTCTAGCCATGTTTGATGACACCATGGGATTTTTGGCTAGGCTTGCGGCGGCCCAACGGACACGGATTTTCTCTTCAACTACTTCCTGCAATTCATCGCTGAACCCACGGCGTCACCAGTCACCACCATGCCCTATTCCATCCCCACCAGCTACAGAAAGGTGGGGCAACGTTGGTTGAAAGAAGGACGGACTAGTTAAAGGGGTGGAACCAAGGTCCAGGATCATCTGGAAGCAGCAAACACGTTGTTTTTTTTCGTTGTGAAAAAACAACAAAGCAGGTGGTTTGCGAAACAGAAGACCGGTTTTGCCTTGCGATAGTTGTAGAGATCCGAAGCGATAACAAGAACGAATGGCAGTGAATCACAGCAGTTTCATACAGGTAGATCCCAAAAGCAAACCGTGCTGAAACAGGTGGAAACCATCCAAGATCTGGATAGGCAACACGTCTCGAAATTCATCACGAAACAGGTCTTTGTATGTTTTTCTATGTTGTTGTTTCCTTTTCCACTTTGATGAAACGCTCACTTGAATGTTCTAAGCAGCAGACTTTCCTTGTTTTCAGAATCATTTGTATTGTTTTCGGTTTTAAACCGATTCAATTATTATGTGTCCACATGCTCCCAAAAAAGGCTAGTTGACCGTTGACCCCAGAACATATTTTAAACGTCAATATTAGCCGAGAGAATCACTAAGATACTCTGACAACGATATTCTCAGCTGGTAATTTTGTTCCGGCTGAAAAGCATCATCTAGCAATATATTCCCACGCTTACATCATGAAAATTATATATAAATTGTAACATGTTTTCGCCCTCTCCTTTCAACATGACATTTTAGGTTATTTTACCGTCGAAGCAATGGTTATAATGCCTGGAATATGCATGGGACGCGTGCATCTCATCTCAGGACATATACCAATTTCTAGGTGGTATAGTCAGTAGGTGGAAGGGTTCAACCTCTACCCCAGTTTGATAAGCATTGTTTGTTTGAAACACTCCCCTAAAGAAAACGTTATATTAATATTATTTCCAACACACCGCTCAACAAATAGAAACATGTTGAAACACATTTTATTGCCTCAGAAAGGACATCATCACATCACTACTTGAGGAGACTTATATAAGGGATCACCGCATTACCTGGTTAACAAGCCGATTTGATGGTAAGTCCCCCAATCCGGTTGACGGACTTCAAAGCTGGGTAAACCAACCCATGTACGAACAGAATCCAGTTGAACAATCAACCAAAGCCAGTGGCCAAATCACATTCAACCTCCTTAAATGACATGAAACTATCATTAAATCCCATTAAACCCTAGAGAACCCCCACTAAATCCTATGAAGACCCGGTGTTTCACGGGATCTCATGGAATCCCCGGGCCTGCACGGCGAGGTGTTGGTCCTGGGCTCCGGCGGTCTGACCATCGGCCAGGCGGGGGAGTTCGATTACTCCGGCAGCCAGGCCATCAAGGCGTTGCGCGAGGCGCCGGGGCCCGGTGCCGGGGGCCTGGAGCTGCCAAGGGTGAAACACATGGCTATTAGGATGGTTATGGTGCTATAAGTGCTATGACTATGGTTATAACTAGCTATGGTTTATCACCTATAACTATTACCGACGATTATTAGTGATGCTACAGCTATTATGGTAATCCAATCTCCTTATTAAACAGCACCTACATGGTCTCAAATAGGTGTAAACCTTCTATTTATATAGCCATGTTGTTTGGGGTATTTAATCTTAAGTCTGGCAAAAATGATGGTAGTAACCTGCATAAGTTGATACATATATATATACACACGTATATTATTTAAGCCCTGCAACTATGGGTACATAAGTTGATGTGTATATATATATATATATTATAAGCCCTACAACTTTGGGTATATAACCATATATAGCCCACTTATTAGTGGAACTGCACCACTGCACCCGCAAGTATGGTATGTGACAATCCCCAAACGGTGATTCTTGGAAAGTCTTGTTAAGATTTATTAAGGTGGGGTGGATATTGTGGATTTCACCATCACGAATGGTTAGTGCTGGTTGGGCAGGAATTTGATGACTTGATTGGGTTTTCCATGTTCTTTTTTTATGATATATATATATATAGTCTCATGTTCCGTGTTCCTACCCCCCCCACTGGTATGGGTCCCCAGGTTGCACCCCCTTCCCTTCTATTGGCAAGCTATTGGCAGCATTTCTGAGGTCCACCCTCGTATTTGCTAGGTCTTTGCTGCATTTCTGACTACCAGCCTCGCATTTACTAGGTACATGCTACCTTTTAGACGACCTACGTGGCACACATGCTCCCTCAAAGTAACTACGTGCTACCTATAGTCATATATACATGCGCCATGTATCTACTTAAAAAATATATATATATACACATACACATATAGAATATATACATGTTATAGATGCATATATATATATATATATTGACACATACACACTTATATATATATATATATCAATATATATATATATATCAATATATATATATATATATGTATACATATATAAATATATATACATATATGTATATATATGTATATATATATATAAACACACATATATACATATATTCATACATATATACATATATAAGTATATATATATATATAAACATATCTATATAAACACACACATATATATATATATATGTATGTATGTATGTATATATATATATGTATGTGTATATATATATATATGCGCAGTACCACATCCCCACCACACCACAGGGGGAAGGGGGACAGTAGCACACCCCCACCACATCACAGGGAGGGGAGGGGGACACTACCACACCCCCACCACACCACAGGGGGGGAGGGGCACAGTACTATGGCTGACCTGTGACCATGGCCGGGGGGGTGGGAGGGTGGTTGGAACGCTGGACCATATATATATATATATATATAGGGATTGAACTAATGGGATTATGTTTTTGTGGGGTTAACACTGGATTGATCAAGTCTTTTGATGAAGGGGGGATTACTGGTAGGACGGTGATCATAAATGATAATTTGACATCATTTGATTCAAATTGCTTTTAAAATGGAACCTCTCCCTTATCAGTGAGCCGGGGGTTGTTTGTTCTGGGTGGCAGTAGGTGGCAATAAATACCTTCTTGCTCTTGCCGGTTGCTTAGGGTGCATTTCAAAGGCAGTTCTGGTGGATCCTCACAAATAGAGAGCCCACTAAATTGTGATTTGCTAGCAGGGTCTCCAGGATGAGATTTCAGGGCTGGAGCAAACTAACTAGCTAGTCATGCAGATCGGATGCATGACTGGGGATGTCCTTGTCATCCAGGAAACTGATTGTCACTACAATCAGTTTCTCAATGAATTCCCATCATTGGATCCAGTATCTATGATTTGATTTTAGAACTGTATGCACAAATAAACAAAATTACGAATATAAGTAGATAAATATATGTATATTATATATATAATATTAATATATATATAGTTATATTTAATTGACATTCCATGGCGGAGTTAAACCAAAACGACATCGGTTTTGCGACCAGGCGGGGGTGATGTCCGTGCTGATCAACCCGAACATCGCCACGGTCCAGACCTCTGCGGGTGCCTGGGACCTCTGGGGCATCCGACGGGACAGGTGACCGAAAGATGGGGGAAACATATGGGAAAAATATGGGGAACTGTTTGGTGCTTTGGAATATGACTTTAATGACTTTCCATATATTGGGAATGTCATCCCAACTGACGAACTCATATTTTCCAGAGGGGTAGGTATACCACCAACCAGGGAACATATGGCTCCTGTAGACCAAAAAAGGACAAAAAGATAGAGATACACAAAAATACAAAAACAATCATATCTCTGTGAAACATTGTGCACTTGCGCAATCTCCGTATCAAACAAAAAAAATAAAATACCATCTGGTTATTTAAGATAGCCATGGAAAATCACAATTTTTAATAGGTACAGTAAACCATCTATAAATGGGCCCTTTCCCATGGCTATGTTAAATAGCCAGAGGGTATATGAAATAGATGTGGAAAATCCACCATTAGTAGATCAGCCATTCCGAATGGGAAACCTGGCGGCTGGTTTCCCACATCTTTTGGGAGCTGTTTACCCCAGGTTAACTTGGGTTTAGTGGGCCAGTTTCTTTTTGGTGCTAATATTTGCTAGACGTATCAACCGGCTAGAAAGGAACCGGTGTATCCACGAATTCTCACAAATCGAGAATTGACATACCCCAAACTTTGATAAACTTTGGCAATTTTTATTGGGGATTCAATGAGATTTGAAACCATGGGATGGAATGGGGTTCCAAATTTTGAACCCAATTTCTGGTTTTGGTTTTGGTTTTGAATGGTTTTTGGACGGTTTTTGCATGGTTGGGGCCCTAGCCCCGGTACAATAATATCCCCCCGGAGCAACTCCCTGCCTCTACGCTGAATAGTACTGTACATATTATTTGCCTGAAGTTGGTCACATAGTTACTTTCTTAGTTCGTATCCTCTCACTTCCCAATCTGTTGGTTCTTAATCCCCATTTTATATCGCCACCCCAAAAACGATAAAAAAAAACAGTAAATCCTACCAATGACTTTCCATCTTGGGCTAGCTATAATCATCATTTCCCCAAGAAAAATCCTCAAAAATCCCAATGGCCCCTGACGGCCATGGCCCGCAAGGCATGGCGGATCGCGTCTACTTCCTGCCCGTGACCCCGGAGTTCGTGGTGAAAGTCATCGAGCGTGAGAAGCCGGACGGCATCTTCGCCGCCTTCGGCGGGCAGACGGCGCTGAACTGCGCAGTGAAGATGTGCCCGGAACGGAAACGGGGGGCGTGGGGACCGGGAGGCCCTCAGGTTGGGGGTAACCAAGGACTTGCCAGAAATGGACGGGATGGAAAGCTTGCAAAAATTGGAGGTTGATTATTAGATCAAAGATGATTCGAAGTGAGACGGGTATGGGATCGTATTGGCTAATTATTGTGTGATTTCAGACCACAAAACCACAGAGTTTGGTGATCTTTAGCTATGCTGAATTTTAGGGTGTTATGGGATTCATGATTTGTGTGGGGGCACTAGGTTGCAATAAGTGCTTCAGTCGCAGGGGGACCCTTGGTCCCCCACCAACCTATCTTTTTTCAAGGTACGAAGATGGAGTCTTTGAGAAGTACAACGTGAAGGTTTTGGGACGCTTGGACTTGGTGGAGGGCACCCCCTGACATAGTTATTAAGCAGCAAGAAAAGCTGAATCTAGTTTAACTCAAGAATTGTCTCCAAATTTCTGGTCCCCTCCATCATTGTCATATTTATATTATATCTGGTTCTTAAGCCCTCAAAAGTAGCTGTGTTTTCCGGAGTCAACTTGGCTGGCTGTGCTGCGTGTCAAGTTCCGCCGGTCCACCCAAGGAACTCAGATTGATGCCATCATGAAGACGGAAGACCGAGACCTCTTTAGCAAGGCGGGGACCAGCGTTGTGACCCTGCTACCCTTACTGGTTACCTTGACATTATACCCATAAAACATCCTGAAACAAGGTAAATCATGGTAAATCATTTTCATGATACATGAACCATTTGAAACCAAATATTAAACAGCATATGATCAATCAAATCCAAAATCATCTTCATAAACATAGACCATGTAAAACCATCTAGTCTGTAAATGATGCAAGCAGTAACGTAAACATATGTAAATAACGTAAGCAAATCACATAGGAATCGTTAAGATATCATCTAAAAATCTTTAAAAAACACATAAATCGTATCATCATGTATCATCCCATCTTCGTATCATTCCATCTATAAACCCATCACTAAAAATCCATGAATCCCCTCCATTGAGTCTAGATTTTCCCATCTTTTCCCATCTTCGTTGCATCCCCGGTGCCATGCGCCGTGTTCGCCACGTTGGTTCAGGTCGTCGAAGCCTGTGGCGAGAAGATCGCTGAGAGCGCCTGCTGCGACTCGGTCAGCGACGCGGTCAGCGCGGCCGAGCAGATCGGGTACCCGGTGCTGGTGCGCGCGGCCTATGCACTCGGCGGCCTCGGTAGTGGCGCCTTGGGCCATGGGATGGGAAAAATATGGAAAAATTGGGGTGGACTCCTACTTTTACCCAAGAAAAATGGTAAAAGTATGTAAAAGTATGCAAAAGTATCGGATTTATATATATATACATACCAATTTTGGGCCAAACGTACCTAATATTTATAGGTACTTGGAGGGTCTAAGCCTTCTAAGCATGTATTTATTATTAGTATAATCTATAACATAATCTATGATTTTTTATGTATACGGAGCTTTGGGTTTGATTCACCAGTTGATTTGGAGGGACCTTGGGGATGGTTTGGGCCGGTTGGGGTATGGAGGGTGGGTTTCTTGAATGGCGGTTGAGATCTATGTATATTATTTGTTTATTATGGCTGTTTCTTAATAAGAAACCGCCATAAAGGTTTCTTAAGGCGGTTATTTGTTTATTAATTGTTTGTTTCCCTTTCTGCATATGTTTATTCTCACTTTTGGCTTGCAAAAGACTTCAAGTAGACCGATAATCACAGCCTTGAGGATTTGCAGACAACGAAGAGGAGTTGAGGACACTCAGCCAGCAAAGGTTTTGCCCACTCCAAATAGCCAAACTTCATTTCAGAAAGGAATCCAGCGTGCCTCACATGACAGCTCCAAAATCATGAAAACATATGAAAACTGTTGTGAAGTTGTCAGTTCAAACATCATGTGGTGGCTTAAGAACTCTTTTTTTGATATTAGATCCTTGGATGATGATCATTTTGGCATGTTTTGAACATGGGCTCAAACACCGAACTGAAGTCGTCGTAGTCGTCGCCGTCATGGTTCCACAGGAAATTGGTGAATGTGGCTCTGGTGAACAGCCCGCAAGTCATTGTGGACAAGTCTTTGTTGCTTGGATCAGTATGATTAAGATATGTGAATTTTTTATGTATCATAGATATCCATAGATTACCATAGTGGGATAGAGTATATGGTTTCACTATGTTTCACTCATTTTGGAAAACAAATATGGATCAGAATGATTAGACAGTTTAGGGTTTGTAGCATTTTTGCACTTAAACGGTAAACGTGTGTTTGCAGGGCATCTAGCCATATTGCAGGGGCGCAGCGTTCCCAAACAGCTGTTGGCATAATTAGCTCCCACGAGCTCACAATGAAGCCACCATTAATGTGGCAAACCCAATAACAAACAATCCCCAATTGGATCAATTGGACAAAGGTATTTCTATTCAATTATATTCAAGTAAAACTTAGCTAGAAATTGAGAGCCCCAGATTTTTACATTAGCTCTCCAGGAGCCAGTCTTCCAACATCCTGCCGAGGAAGGGGTGGAAGGAGCTGGAGTATGAAGTGGTGCGCGACAAGAACGACAACTGCATCACGGTGTGTAACATGGAGAACTTTGACCCTATGGGCATCCACACAGGCGTTGGACATGGTATGAACATCCTTTTTTTTAACAACCATGGCAATGGAAAATGCCCCAGTTGATGATTTTCCCAACCAGAAACCTCCATTTATAGCTTTTATTTTCTATTTATAGGGGATTTCCTAGCCAGGCCATTTATATGATCGCTACCCAGCAGCTTTTCTGCAGATCCCAGCAGAGTTTCGCAGCCGTTTCGAGTCACAGGTGAGTCGATCGTCATTGCGCCCTCGCAGACGCTGACCAATTCGGAATACTACCGTTCCTTGGGCATCTTGGGTTCCGGCTCCACCGAATGCTACACCGAAGGTGGCGCCCTGGATTAGGTGCGATGAATTCAATCTAAGAATTCTTGAGACACATTAAGTAAGTATCATTAAGATTCATAAAGTCTGATAAGTGTTTATTTATCTGATTATTGCGATTTATTGCAATTTATATCAATTTATGCATATTTCATCATATTTCCTGCATATTTATGCTTTGAATTGACCACCATCTTGCAGGTCAATTCCCAATTTTTCAGCAGATTTGCCGCGTTTCGTTTGTGTTGGGCTGCTCAAACGTCGAGGTTTGCGCCAGTGCGCGCTGAAGATCATCCGGCACCTGGGTATTGTGGGTGAGTTCCTCGGCGCGTAAGAGATAGGACCGATAGGACACGTGGGGAAGACCTGGGGGGAAACATGGGGAAACTATGCCACCAAGAGATAAAACAGGTAAATCCATCTTTTAGTAGGATTCTACCAAACTGTACCAAGTTCCATCTGATTTTGGGTGGATGCCCCCATATAATTAATTCAATGTTTTTGTTGGGGTATGGTCCGTATTGATATGGTGTCGTGATATTGCAACACCAAGAAAGATAGTAAAGTGGTGAAGGTGAAGCCAACTATGTTTGCTTATATATTTGTTTCATTTTGTTTGGGGTTTGGTTTCTGAACTGTGACTGTGTATAATTAGGTAAGATGACTGGCTAGTCAATGATGGTCTCGATCTTTTTCCTCTCCTCATCTGGGATGACGATCCCCGACGGTCAGGCTGAAACTAGCAGATTGAAGATAGAGCCAATAAACCCACCCACTTGTACTATTTCAAGCGTTAAGAAAGCTCAAAACAACTAGAGAGACAGTATTGGGGCCACAACATTACATTGAATATATGATGGCATTGCATACGAAGAAACATACTAGACTAGAATGATATATACACTTCAAACTACTTCAAAGATGTTGTGCTTTTTTTTGTCCCATTTTTAGTGGACAATCAAATCCCTAGACATATCCCAGACATAGTTGGTTTATAACTCCAATAACTATGGTTTATGGTATATACTTATAACATCTTATAACTATAGTTACTGGGGCGAAAAAAAAAAACAACTATAACCAACTTATATCAGACATATCCCAAAAATCAGTTGAACTTCCGTTAAAATCGTACCTGGGCTGTCTGCGTTTGTCCAGGTGCAACATCCAATATGCCGTGGATCCCATGAGTTCCGAGTTCCGCATCATCGAAGTCAATGCCAGGCGCCGGCCCTTGGGGACCATCCATGGGGGTGAGACATCCATGGGGGAAATCCTAGGTGGATGTTGGGGGGATCCAGAAAATGTATCAAAGATGTCGTGTTTATATATGTTTATATACATTTTGTATCATGTATTTGATCAACAATGTCTGTTTATATACTGTTTATATCATAAATTTGCCCAAGCAGTTTATACATGTTCGCACGTAAGATCACAAAACACCTGGGCTCCTCCATGTTTATGCCGTTATATACTATGCAAATACCTATCAATCTATCTATCTATCTATCAATCTATCTATCTATTTATCTGTCTATCTAATCTAATCTAATCTAATCTAATCTAATCTAATCTAATCTAATCTAATCTAATCTATCTATCTATCTATCTGTCTAATCTATCTATCTATCTATCTATCTATCTATCTATTAATCTAATCTAATCTAATCTAATCTAATCTAATCTTATCTATCTATCTATCTATCTATCTATCTCTCTATCTATCTATCTATCTAATCTAATCTAATCTAATCTTATCTAATCTAATCTAATCTTATCTAATCTAATCTAATCTTATCTAATCTTAATCTAATCTAATCTAATCTAATCTAATCTAATCTATCTATCTATCTATCTATCTATCTATCTATCTATCTAATCTATCTATCTAATCTATCTATCTATCTATCTAATCTATCTATCTATCTATGTATCTATCTATCTATCTATCTTATCTTATCTAATCTTAATCTAATCTAATCTAATCTAATCTATCTATCTATCTATCTATCTATCTCCCTCTCTCTCTCTCTATGTATATATATAAATCCATTTAGACATCAAAAATCATCCCATTTCTGGGCTCAACTCGGGGTTTTACCATGGTTTTACAATGTTTTTTCCATGGTTTCATAGCATTCGTTGACTCATTGACCTTCACCAGCCTCGCAGCTACGCTACATTTTGAGGCTTTCGAGGAGTAGCGCCCTGGCCTCAAAGGCGACCGGCTATCCCTTGGCGTATGTGGCGGCCAAGTTAGCCTTGGGTCACGACTTGGTGCAGCTGAGGAGTCGAGTCCGTCGAGTGTGGGATAGGTCCTGGAGGGCTTAGATGTCGGATTAAACCTCGATATCTTATGATCTGTTAATAAGTATATTTATAAGTATGTTACCCTCTGGTAAACTAATATAACGAACTGGATCATCGCAATGTTTAAGAACGGTAAATCAACGAACTAAATAGCCATTTTCAATGTTAAATTTCCAGAAGGTATTTCTCAGTTATGGTCCTAGTTACCCACCTGCGATCCTTTTTGGGTGAATCCTCCAAGCATTGCCGCAGGAACAGCGTCACCAGATGCACCACAGCTTGCTTCGAGCCATCCCTGGACTACTGCGTGGCTAAGGCGGGACGACAGCATCCACGGAAGGCGGTCAGTCACAAGCCAGTTGCAGAACGGACAGCCCCAGTCCAATTATTTTACTGTTATTTGCAGGCATTTGTGGGTTATTAGAAAATATTATTGGTTATATGTGTCTATATATATATATATATGTGTGTGTGTAATCCCTCTCTCTCTCAGTGTGTCTGTTGCTAAATGTTATTATATATCTTGTCGTCAAGTCCGGCGCACATCTAAACGCTACGCTTCATTCGAGAGTAATCTTGCCGCATGCCCTGCAAGATCACTTGGGTTTTTCTGTCATTAGTTTCAACCCAAGTCCCTTTTGACCATCGAAAACCATGCGAAACTGCCGGGTGCCTTACGCAGCCAGGTGCCCCGCTGGGATCTGCAGAAGTTCTCCACCGTGGACTGCCGTATCGGCGCCTGGGATGTAGATTTTTAGACCATTTTTGGGCCATCTAAAGTCAGAAGAAATCCCTTAAACATCGTCTAAACATGTCTAACATACACGGACATTTACCCTCTGGTTATGACTAACATAGCCATGGGATAGATGGCCCATAGAAATAGATGGTTTACCGTTCTTAATAGCATGGTGGATCTTTCCAGTTCGCTATGTTTGTCATAACCAGAGGGTAGCTGTTTTCCAGGTTTTTATCTTGGGTGAATCAGGGCGAAGATGCTCAGCATTTAGGCCAGATTGGAGGGTCACCCAGGTCACCCAGATCCCTTCTGCAATGTATCCTTTCACTGCTGAATTCCCTGCAATTCTATGGGGCGGATTTATCTTGGAACAACCAGGTTTTTGAAGGGGCAGCTCACTGGGACAGTTAATCAATGAATCTTCCACCCTGTGACGCCCTAGGAAAACAAGTCATTTTATATCTGATGGTAGCCACCAAAATGGATAGACAAGTACAGTACAAGTGACAATCAATCCCCATTAAGATGGGCGAATCACTTTCGCAGACCACTTTTTTGGAATTCCGTCCTGAAAAGAGTCCTGCACGATTCTATCCATGATAGTTTGTGAAGAGAAGACTTTGGATGATGTGACCGGGCACAATAGCGACCAGATATAGTACTGGTCATACCAGTTGTGATGATGATCCCATTTGTCGATTTTTTTGGCACAGGTTGAAGGCACCAACGAACTGACAGAGATTTCACATTTACCCATCCCCACCTTCCGTTCTTCCATGGCTGAAGGTTCTGCCATGCAGAGCGTGGGAGAGGTCATGGCCATTGGACGCACCTTTGAGGTGAGCGAGTTTCGTTGTAGCTGATCCCAAGTGTTGATGAAAGCCAGGTGGCACCGATGCCACCTGGCTTAGATATAGGGATAACCAATGGGTATTTTAGAAACCCGCAAAATGGGATGGTACAGAGGCAGTTTTCATGGCCCATTGGTTCAGCACCTAAGATACCCTAACATCACAGCTACTGCTTCAATCCATTGTGGGAGAATGGCCATAGATTTGAAGCCGCCAGGGGTTTGCGGATTGCAATCAGTGCTTGGAACGGAAGAGAAAAGAAAAAACAATATCATGAAGTTGGATAAGCCAATAATTGGTTATTATATATATTATTTTCACTAGCTATTTTCATAATTGGCAATGAGTCTTCTCCAGTCCAGTCGAAGAGTTCCAGTCCTAGTAGCGCAATTTTCATGGCTGATCATTTTCCCCATAACTTTCCAGGGGGCAAAAATCCTCCAGCCACACGGTGAAATCCCAAATGTCTTCGGACAGCGGTAGGAGACGATTCAGAAGGCCCTGCGCATGGTGGATGAAAGCAGTTTAGGTTTTGACCCCATCCGTCACCTGGAAAAAGAGCTGGAGAAAATGGTGGATGAACCTTTGTGGATGAGCCAGTGGCTTTAGGGATACGCTCCGGAATCAACATGGATATGGAAAATCGATGAAAAGCCACCAGAAATCTAGATCATTTCCGAACAGGGAAACCATGCTTTCCATTTCGTTCTGTTAATTAACTGAAGGGTAAGATTTGCAAATAGTTTGGTTATTTGGCATGTGCAGCATGCGAATTTCGACCAATTTTTTTAAGCATCGACCAAGAATACCATCCAGCTGTCCAGAAACCGCTGGGACTCCAGGAAAATCATCTTGACACTCCATGGCACCGACATGACCTAATCTTGCCCGAAAACACCCCAGAAAACAATGATTTTCCCACCGTTAAACCTCCATTGATATATATGAAGTGTGATATTTTCCCATGAAAAATGGGTGATGATCAAACAAGGCGATGGATCATTGTCCCATTTTTAGTGATTTCCCCAGCATTTTGGGGTGAAATCAGGGTGATTTTCCCAAGTTGGCCCATTTTTGGATGGGAATTCTGATGGATTCTGCTTCCCAAGGCTTCGACTTGGAACTGAATCGCCGCAACGTGCCCAACACGGGAGCCTCGCTGGAGGCGGAGTTGAAGAAGGCGTTCAGGGCCTCAAAACGTTGTCTTTGGGCAGTTTGTTGGATGTTTTTGGATGTTTCTGGTCACTCATTTTTTTCCCCCCACCTGTCAGGTGAGGGTTTCTAGATTTTATGTCAGCTGGCCCGCCGCCTCCTCCGCGTCCTGCTCCTCCACCTCCTCCTCCGCCGGACCTCAACTGCAAGCTCAGGATCAGAGTGTTCCCCGTCGGACCTCGACCGCAAGCTCCGGAGCCAAGTGGTCCTGCCGAACAGAGAGAATGCCACAACAGAATGTCAGAGAGAATGCCAGTTAGAATGTCAGAATAGATGCCGGAGAGAATGCCAAATAGAATGCCAGATAGATGCCAGAAAGAATGGCAGATAGAATGTCAGAATATATGTGATAATATAGGTCAGAATATATGTGATAATATATGCCCTGAAATGCCATGGTGGGGATCACTCGAAGTAAAATAATGTGTTGTTGAACCGGATCTATCCTGTGATTTCTGTAAGTGTCAATGATTGTATTTAAGATGTTTTTGCGTTTGCGTGGGTCATTTTCAAACCATTTAATTACTGGATATGATTTGTAGATTCCTTTTTGTGCAATGATGAATGGTAGTTTTACTGGGCTTGGAATTATATTATATCATGGGATCATGGGCATTTTACAAATATAGTTGGTATTTTTAAACCTAAAACCTACCAACCTACTACACCGTTCTGTTAGCAGTCATCCAAATGCTGGCTCCGGCCGGATAATCAACCCAAGGATGCTTAAAATCATCTGCAGAAGGCCGACAAAAAGGATCCCAGTTGTTTCGTTGTGGTTGCTATTTAATTATCCACGAGCTTCATTTTTTTCAAAGTTGATCTGACGGCAACATCTTTGGGTTCTTTGCCTCTCCAAAAGATATCTTGTGAAACGAAAATGGCCCCAAAACTATCTAAAACTAAGGAAACTTCCGGTGAAAGCTGGATGGGAGGTGAGTGATGCTTAGTGATGGCTCGCAAGATCCACATACCATCCGTGTGTGGGATGTGTGTGTGTGTGTGAAACCCGTTATAACATACGGATATTTTACAATTTCGTACAACGAAGCAAGGAAGACAATATGTGGCGACAATAAGAACTGAATTTTAATTCAGACATGCAGGGGGCTGGAGTGTGAATCAGAAGTCTCCAGCCAACGAAGACGCTTCTGATGTCACAGTGATATCAACCTGGGACGCTGGGTTGACGTACCTGCAATGTTGGTTCGAACTTTTGCACAAGCTGTTCTATTACCTTGTTTTTGAGTCCTTTGGCAAGAATCGATTGCCCGAATTTCACCGTTTGCAACCGTGCCCCATCGAAGGTGACTTAGGAAATCAGGCGACGGCAAGTTCTACTCTCATCATCATCAAATCAACCTAAGCAGTGTGTTTGGGTGAACTCACTGACTTGTGAGCACCGTCGATCTGCTTCGTGCGGGTCTAGATCTGGTCACCGGCCGCTCCGGTGGATAGTGGAATGTCCAATTGGGACAATCCGGATTCGACGTGGTTGTTATGTCAATCACAGGATTACTCCACTTTAGGAGCGAATTATGACAATTTGTCATACTTCAACGGATTAGTCCCAACGATGGACGGATTAGTCCCTTCGAAGGACCAGGATTAATCCCTATAGGGATGGATTAACCCTTCGGGGGGTCTCACCTGTTGTCTTACCCAGGTCCGATCCTTACAGAATCACAGTTTGCAGTTCAAAAAACGTTCTGATTCTTTCACAATTCCGTTTTCAGTTGTTAAAATTTTCTCGCTGCTTGACATTTTTGTGACCTTTATATGTTTGCTTTTGAATGTCATGAACAATGTACTCAATATGTTGGCTCTGAAGCGACAGTTGCTGCAAGATTTAAACCAACATCCTTCAATGTTACAGGTGGTTGTTGTCTGCTTCAATTTTATTGTTTTTCTTTTTTCTCCTTTGCCTTCGTTTTCATATATGGACATTATCAACATTACCATGATACCGACCGGCGTAGTTCCGAAGTCCATGGGTCCCCCACCTCGTGATCCAATTCCTACTTGGGCCACACCAGCTAGCAGACGTACCACTGAAGATGTCAGTTTTCATTATCGGGGATTCACTGGCGAGTTTGAATTCAGAGTACCTCGCGGAGAGGCATCACTCATGGCACAACGTGTTATTCAGAATGATCAGGCTATTCAGATGCACAGTCTACAGGTTCAGGAACATCAATGCCAATTGGGAATACTTCAAGCTCAAAATCAATTTCATCAGCTTGGGATTATCTCTCAATTTGCCAATTTGACGCATGCAGGAAATCAAACAGGTTGGATACCTGGCTTACATTTGACCTTTCCCAATTCTTCGGGACAAATCGCGACATCAGTTACACCTGCTCTGACTGATCGGGTAACGACCTCAGAACGGCCATCGAAACGATTTCGCAGTGAAAATGTATTGGAACCTCCAAGATCGGAACGTGGTCCGGATCCCCTGGACAAGTCTGGTACGATTCCATCTCAGCTCGGCACTTTCGTACATCAGTGGGGAACTCAGAATTTCCAAAGCGATGTCGCTCCTGAAGTTTCTGCAGAGACTCAAACAAAATCAGTATGTTTCAAAATTGGACGACAACCAGAAAAGTTTATCTCTTCCAGTGTACTACAGATTATGGAATTTAAGCATCCACAATTGGAACACCTCGGGCACCATTTGTGGGTGTCGCATCCACTGGCACGTTTTTCGTCCAATCAATTTGATGCAATACGACATGGAACATTGAAGGAGTTGGATTGGTGTGGACTGTACAGCACTGTATTGCGTTTACACTCAGATTTATACCAAAATCCACATCGAATTGCTGGAGGATTTGAGATGGGCAGACTTATTGAAGAACCACGTCAACAAAAATGGATTCCAGACATGCATCATTTTTGTCGAGCCAACGGCTATCAAACCTTCGATGAAGCCAAACGAAGAGTGGTTTTTGGTATGAATATGTCATACATGATTTGCGCACATGCTTTCCATCAGCCTTCATGAACTCACGAGCTGCTCATGTGGAGGAAGGAATCCAAATTTTGATTGCATCCTTGATGCAATATCCAGCCAACTCTATTTTGATAGAGGAATTTCAGATATTGATGTCTTCCATACAGACACCCTTGGCCATCCTAGCATCAGTGCAACCACCATATTTTCGAAGCACTCCCAAAGTCCAATTCAATCATCGTTTCCTTTTTGGCCATAACACTCAGGCTTTAGCTCTGTGTGACATTGTTCGGGAAGGATTTATTCGTCCTTCTAGTTGTGATCCCGCTGACAAATCATGGTTGCCACCTACTTCCTTTTATTGCCGAGCAGTCGTACCTAACCATGATGATTTTCACAAAAGTGATATGGAACGTTTGGTCAAGATGTGCGGAAAGTACGGCGGCGCCCTCAGTGATCGCCCTGTATGTATTCTTGGAGAAGCATTTTCGAGGCAGGAACATATTCGTACACCACAGGGTGGAGTTATGGCTGACCATATGATCACTATGGTAGCTGACTCAGCACATGGAGCGGACCAACGGTGGGCTTTCCGATCCCATCTTTCGAAGATCAAGTACGTCGCGGTGATCCTACATGAGAGCAAATTAAAATGATTAATCCATGGAGTATACATCTCCAGAAATCATGTCTTGGAGTCTTTATTTGGAGTATAAAAACAGTGCTGACTCAGATTTTTCGATTGTTAGCTTCGCGTGTGTGCATCGTTTTTCTGCCGTGTTCTTGTCCCCTTTTCTTTTTGCTTGTCCCCTTTTCCTTTTGCTTGCCTCCTTCTTCCTTTTTCCTTACTTCTTCTGCATGCTACCTTCCCGCGGTGTCCTTCTCTGTGTTGCTTCTAAGTAATTTGTGCTCCGCAGCGTATTTATATAGGAGCTATGTCGCGTCAAAATTGCATCAATCGCCGACATATTTTCAGGAACGTTATGCTGATGAAGAATCTATGCGATCAGTTTTACATCACCGGTGTCTGTTCTGTTCGATGCATGTGGAACTTCATACTTTAGATTTTTCACAATGTGAATTTGACAATGAGAATTGACCTTGACCTTGTACAGTTCTACTGAGTTAACAGCATGTCAGTCCATTAAGTCACTGTGTCAGTGGCACTCATTTTCACACAAAGTTCTTCTGCGATTTTGTCTTTGACACTTCAGCAGGTTCAAGACATCAACTTATCGACTTTCCTACTCTTCCCCTCCTCATATAGACATGGGACGGAATTCTCGATCTCGATCGACCAGACGAACACACAGAGAAACAGGAAGACGTAGATCATCTCGCCAGAGCCCCAGAGAACGATCTCCTCGTCGGAAGAATCGGGACGATTCACATCATCGTTCTGAGCTCAAAAGATCGCAGACGGACCGACTTGAGATCCCGTCATCATGGAACAGCAGTGATACTCATTGGGACACAAAAACAGAATATGGACTAAATCTTCCCAAGAGGGTTGAATCTACTCAATTTAGTCGTCGACAGAACCTTGCAGGACAAGAAATATCCCAAATTAAGCTTATCGATGTTGTTCAAAGTGGAATCAGTAATTGGGGCCTTCGCCTCGTGGCCAACGGTAGATTTGTTTCATGCGAATTCTTTCGCAATCGACTGGAAGCTACTTTTGCCACTACACTTTTTCGAGTAATGTCAAAGCAGAAGGACACCTTGGACTTCCATCGACTGTTGGGAGCTTTCACACCACAGGGTCAAGATCCGCAAGAATGGGACACGAAGTTGACAAGTATCAAGGGATTGGTCCAGTCAACATTAGATCATTTTCGCACTCTCTGTCCTCAAGATTCACAGCAAGCCATACTAGAAGAACTAGAGAAACTCAAGGCTGAGAATGCTGCATTGAAAGCATCCCAAGCTCCAGATAGTGGTAATCCACCATCCCAACAGACGCAGCGGCCCCCAACAGGCCAACCCCAAATCAATGCGTTTTTCCCCAACAGTAGTACACCAGGAGGCCCATCCAGTCCTGCAGACCCTTTGATGTCCTATCGTCGCAAAGACGCCCAAGCCTTCTATGCAATCCAGGCACCTCAAACAGGAACTGAGGCAAAAGTCCGTGATTGGGTGAAGAAGAACGTTCCCAAGGAACGTCAGGGAGAATTGAACAAGTGTGTTGAAACTCTTCAAAACCATTTGAAACAATTCGATCAGGCGAATCAACCCAACCTGGAACCAATTTTAAGCGATTGGGGCCTCTCCTCTTCCTTTTTGTCGAAATGCAATGTTGATGCTCACATCAGATTGTTGGCAGCAGTTCAGCTGCTGCGAAACTGACAATTTGAATTTGCTACAGATCAAGTAAGCCCACCTACTAACGGTGGCTTGATAAAACCTTTTGACCAAGCACACACCCGAAAGGCACGACGTAAGATCGCACAATTTCGGGAGATTGCTCAATCCTTCATCTTTTTTGCTGCATGTCTTTTGCAATATACTCCACAACTGACTTGGCGACTTCAACGGATGTTGTTATGGTCTCTTAGTCAATGGACAGTTTTTGGAGTATGTTTGAATTCATGGACAAACAAGCGACGACGACTGATGACTATCCTTCAACATGCACGACTTCCGTTTAAATTCTCATGGACATGGTGGACACAAACATCAGTTATTTACATGCGTTTGGATCTCTGGGATGCTGATTTTTACATTGGAGCCACAGAACATTCTGTTTTTGACCGAGAACAGAGCCGTATGCGGAAATTTCGTCAACTTGGTAACCAACAACTTGCGTATTTCGAGCCTGCCCTAAAAGTTTGGTTCCACCTGAACAATTTCTACAGGTTTGGCTGTTTTCCTTTACAACAGCAAAACCTTGACAAATTGTATGCCATGGAAACGGCATTTCAGACGACGTACCGGCCTAAATACAATTGGCCATGGATCAAGCCTTTCTTACAGAAGTTCCATATTGGGAAGCAGCGGTTCGGGCCCTCAGTCTCCAAACCCTTTCTTGAAAAGACTCGAAAGTTTTGTCGTCGATATTTGAAGCGAACGGCTACAAATCAGCGGTGCGTTTTGGGCCTCAGATTTCATTCTGCGGATCGAATCTACACATTACTCACTCGTTTAGGCTCTGACACCATCGAAAAGTTTCATGTTTCCAAATTACTGCGTTCATCACAAACAGACATACAATATCTTTTCTTGCTTTGGAGACTTTCCCATCAATTGGGAGAACCTTTTCGTACACGCTGTCAATCACAACTTCGTTTGATCCTCAGATTTAAGGGAACGGAATCTCCGCCACCCAATGTGCCTATGCGACTTCAAGTTCTATCTGATGACATGAACGATGCGATAAAACAGTGGCTTCTGAATTTCACTTTTCATCATTCCATCAATTTCCCTCCGTTTCACAAAGTACGGGCACCATTTGTGCGCATTAAGAATCGGACGTTGGGACAAACATTTTTCAATTTTCGAAAAGTGTTGAAATGGTGGACACCTGAACAGCAACCTTTGTGTACATGCCACCTCTTTCCTTTGCATATTCGACAACGTGAACGAAAAACCGAACATATTTCTGTTTTTGCACAAGAATGCTTTCCTGATGAAGCATTTCTCCATCAACATATGGCTGAAGAGATTTCACCATCATGGAGACACTTCTTTCACCATAACACGTATCAATTCGAACAGTGGCTGCATCGATGGAAGCTATCACATTCATTGATCCAATATTGGCAAGCTTTCATCCTGACACAGTGGAAGATCTATAAACAGAATTCTCTCGGACAGACCCAGAAACAGATTCAGCGACTTCAACATCGCTTACGTTCTTTTGTAGTCTCGCCCTCAGATCATTTTCCGCATTCTTTGACATTACACTGTCCTGCTCAGTGGCAATATTTGATGAACCGAACGTTCCTGGATACTTCGGTATTTCTTCGCTGCCAAGCGTATCCTATTCCGTTATTGAAGCACATTCAACAAAATATCCCTGACTGGATTATGCAACACTACAAATGGGGCTTCAAATTTGGATCCACTCTCAGCACCGCATACATTCTCCCAAAACCATCCAGGTTATTTCAAAAAGCAAGACCAATTGTGGATTATTCTCGAGCATGGTGTCGACCAATTGGAAGTGCACTAGCAACAGCGTTATATGAAATTTTGCAGGTTGTATATTCTGATCTCCTATCTGTTACGGATATCAAGTCGGTGCTACATGCAATTGCCAAGTTGTTTTCCCACCAAGACTACGTTTATGGTGAACTCACTGTGGAACAAGAAGACATTGCTGGGTTTTACAATCAAGTTGATCATTCTCGTATGTTACAGGCTGTTCAATTTGCTGTGTGTCGGTTTTGTGAACTTCAAGGACAAACATTTGACTCTTTTCTCAACATTCATCAAGAGACTACGGAACGCACTTTACGATTTTTTTCGTGGATTTTGGCGGTCACATAGCCACAAATACCGACCAATTTGTCTTGCCCATATACAACCGCTCAGCCAATACCTTTTGAATCATAGTTATTTCAGTATTGGAGGCACAGTATTCCAACAGCGTCGTGGTGCAAGTATGGGTTCCCAATGGGCACCCATTTTCTGTTCAGCAGTTGCATTACTCAGAGAATGGATTTTTCATTCCTATTTTCAGGTCTTTCGCACAAACATGAATTTTCATCATCGGTATGTCGACAACCGCTTGATTCTAGCAACAGACATCGATCGCGCCAGTCTGGACTTTGACCTATTTTGGAGACTGGATTTCTATACAAATCCCATCCTTTTGGAACCAGTACCTGGTGATGAAGCCCTGGGATACAAAATTGATTGCCTACAACATACCATTACTTTGCAGTTACCATGGAACAAACCCTTGAGACACAGCTCTGGCTGTGGTGTCTCACGTACCGCCCTCAGTGGTCTTATTGCTCGTATTCGACTCATTCTCACGGGCGTGTATCCACAACATCTTCATCTACCTCAAATTCAAGATCTCATTGGACTGATATCATCTCGAGACTCTGCTCTTGTGACCACAGATTCCGCACGCAAGACCATAATGACTGTTATCCACCAAGTCCATCCACATTTACAAGCGCGTGATGTTTTCAGATTCGCTTAACAAAAAGGAGTGAACAGCTTACTCAATCATTCTTAACTTGTCGCGCTCTGTTGTTTTTTGCCAAATAGAGATACGCATGAGAATGTGATTTGTGTGTAGTAACTTATTCATGGCTGCATCAGTTCAAACCTTTCAATGTTGGGTTCAAGTCTGTCGCCATTTACAGACCATCGGATTTACCTCTACTCTACACTGGTTCTACTAACATGAATAGATCTCTTTTGCCCTTGTCCACAACAGCTGTCACAATTTCTCCATGTTAGACGTCGATTGTATAGTGCTCTGAGTGGTGTCGGGACCTCAGTTACCCCCAATCATGCTTTAGGTTTCAGAATTCTAAATGCCTCAAGATTTTTGACACAGAAGATTTTTCGACAAAAATATTCGACATAATCACCTGACCAGAGTTATCAGCCCGGACCTCGGACGCTTTCGTTCACTGAATTGAATCCACCACGATCAATGGTCGGCGGCCTAGTATTATGAAATACCGAAATCCAGACAGCGTTTTCACTCTTCTGTTAGTGTCTCGTAACATTTCAGGACAGCGATTCTGTTATTTGAGTGACAATGTGCGTCTGTCATTTTAACTAATTAATTTCTTTATAAGAGTATTCGACATAACAACCTGACGAGAGTTATCAGCCCGGACCTCACATGCTTTCGCTCACTGAACTGAATTCACCACAAACAATGGTTGGCGGCTTAGTCTCATGAAGTACCGCATTTCACACAGAGTTTTCGCTCCTCCATTAGTGTTTTGTGAAGTTTCAGGACTGCCATTCTGTCACTTGAGCGACAGTGTGAGCTTGCCATTTCAACTACTCATGTAATTTCGTCATCGCCCTACGGGGCTTGTGTGTGTGTGAAACCCGTTATAACATACGGATATTTTACAATTTCGTACAACGAAGCAAGGAAGACAATATGTGGCGACAATAAGAACTGAATTTTAATTCAGACATGCAGGGGGCTGGAGTGTGAATCAGAAGTCTCCAGCCAACGAAGACGCTTCTGATGTCACAGTGATATCAACCTGGGACGCTGGGTTGACGTACCTGCAATGTTGGTTCGAACTTTTGCACAAGCTGTTCTATTACCTTGTTTTTGAGTCCTTTGGCAAGAATCGATTGCCCGAATTTCACCGTTTGCAACCGTGCCCCATCGAAGGTGACTTAGGAAATCAGGCGACGGCAAGTTCTACTCTCATCATCATCAAATCAACCTAAGCAGTGTGTGTACTTTGATAACATTTCAAATAACCTTTAATGCATGCAGTCTTTCCTTCAAAACTCATGTAAAATCATAAGGGACCAAAGTCATCCAGATGTAGATAAACATGGCAGGGATGGTTTGGGTATTCATTTGGGTTTGGCTATTTTGGATTGAATTTTGACAGGAGCTTGCGAACCCCACGCCTGTGCGAGTGTGGGCTATTGCCAAGGCGCGGAGGGACGAGACACCAGGTTCACCATTCTTGGACTCGGGGAACATGGATTAGTTGTTAGTTAGTCGAAAATGGGTACCCCTAAAACCCAAGCATCCAATATTTCATCACAATTTTCTGGTAAGCATTAGTATGCATTGCCATTTTGGTGTACGACGACCCGTTGCTGCACAGGCACATATGGCAGACATGGCGCAGTTGTTTCCAGCAATGTTTGCTCACACTAGGCAACATGAAAGGCAAAGAAGTGGGTCTCAAAACGTGCACACAAACACACGCTCTATCTCACTCTTTGATTTCCCCCATGAAAGCATCTATAAAAATCGCATGGTCTATTTTTTCAAAACCGCACTAAATCATGAAATGACATGTCTCAAATTCCATCCAGGCCTTTGAAAACGGCATGGGCGTGGAGGAACTTCATCGGCTCACCCGCACTTTGGTGTGCCAAGGGGCTATGATGGGCCATGGGCCACGGATGGCCACGGGATGGCCACGGGATGGCCATGGATTGGTCCTGGCGACCTTGGGACCCCGGGATCCATTGGGGACCGGTGCGAGGGTCTTTTTCTATCGTCATATTTGATACTCCAGTGAAAAGTCGTGCGACACCCCGAATCTTTGGGAAATTGCCCCCATTCAGGTCCGAACATTTTAAGAACTGGCCAACAGGAGCAGATCAGATGAACGGGCCCATTACCAGCCCAAAGCCATGAAGGAAAACACATGAAGGGAAGAGTTGTTTTTAGACCAAATTTGTTCATTCCCTTGACGCTGTTGTGCAAATGGCCCAACGCGTGAAGTGGATTGAATGCAGCTGCTTATGATGTGATGATTTACTCGTTTTGCCCCTTGCCTTTGCATGAATATGTTGGGATACAACACCCTGCCTCCAGCCGGACACTCCTCCATCCCAGTAGCTGCATGGATCATGACATTTATATATATATATACATTTACTGTCTATTGTTGCGGATGAAGTATAATATATTATATATAATGACCTCACTGCGACGTCGCTGGAATGATGGATGATGGTTACTAAGCGGAATCCCAAATGGCCAGTTGCTGTCGCCGTCGCCGTGTCCCAAGGCATTGACAAGTGGTTCCTCTGCAAACTGCATGGCTTGCACATGATCAAAAACACCATGAGGCGCAGCGCTATCCCTCAGGTGGCGTTGAAATCTGAGGCTGGTGATTCTGAGGACCAGCATTCGGGTCCATCGCTTGGGGAAACCTTATATAAACTTATAATTAACTTACGTACATTCTTTAGGGCAAAGTGAAAAACCTAAAATGAATAGGAACTGACGATTTTACAACAACATTGGACCCCGCAGAATCAAAGAATCGTCCATCCAAATACGAAAGTAGTCCTCCAACCCACACGTTTGGCGGTGAGTCATAGGTCCGATACTAAAGCATGGTTCTAGGGCTGTATTTAGTATTGGAGGGATGGGACTGCAACTTTGGAACAATTTTTCTGGAGGTTTCCTAAGTCATGGGGGTACCCATAAGGCCATCATCCATTTATAGATGGGATTTTCAAGGAAAAACAATCCAGCTTTTCATGGGATCCCCCATGACTTAGGAAACCTCCATATATGTTTCATCATGTTTCATCATGTTTCATCATGTTTCATCACCCAACTTCTCCACAAATAAAACCGCCATAGATCCGCCATAGATCCTTGGATTTCTACGAGCTTCGGCGAAATCCGATGCTGTTGAAGGAGGCCGTGTGATGTCATCTTGGGGAACGCTTCAGCAAAGTGAGCTTCAAGGAATGGGAGGAGAACCAACAAAACTAGGGATTGACTCAAGAAACAGAAGGGGATTTTGTTTTTTGTGCGATTTGAGCGACAAGAGTGCGGGTAGAAGCAATCAAGATAGAGATTTAAGATAGGTTTAAGCAACATAATTGTGATTCAAGCACTGAAAATGCGGATGCAACTGTCAAAAAAAGGTGCACTACACCAAAAAAACAAGGACAACCAGCAACAAATAGGGGGGTATGGGGACGACATTGGGACCTGAATCATGGCCATGTCTTAAATTTCCCCATTTATGATTACTATATAATATATTATATATACATTATATGCATATTATATTATATTATATTTTATGATTTTACAATATCTATTGTATATATTATCACTTTTATTATATATGATATAGTTTTCTATGAATTTCCCATTGAAATACCATTTTGTTTGTTCGGATTCCGATCAGCGCGGGGCGATCGGCTCCGCAAGGCCAAGACGCGCGGCTTTTCGGATCGGCAGATCGCGCAACTGGTGACGGCTCCAGATGCTGGGCGAATTTTCAGTTTTTACGGCGAAACCAGTGGAACATGGGGAGTTCACCAACCAGAATATAGGATTTTTCATGGGATTCATATGGAAAATCCCCTAGAAAAGCCATATGGAAATGGTGATTTAATGGTGATTAATGGTGATTAGTGGATATTAATGTCTGGTTGGTGGTTTCAAACATGGCTTTTATTTTCTATTTCATATATGGAATGTCATCCTTCCCATTGACCAACTCATATTTTTCAAGATGGTTAAAACCACCAACCAGAATAGGATTTAATGGGATTCATATAATGTGGTTAAAACAAGAATGAAATAACAAACTACCCATTTGGCAATGGTTGGAATCCCACCTATTTATGGTGATTCATACTATACAATAGTAATCCACTAGTGGATTGTCAATCGACTAGTCATACTGTGTTCGCTACTACTATCGGCCATCCGACTTCCACAGATCTGGGAATTGCCGGCCATTTATTGTACTAGATGGTAAGAAGATGTAAGAAGCATCCGAAATTGTTCCAGTATATACACATAGACTACAATGACTAGATGGCACATTGACCGTACCCAGCAGATTCACAGATCGCTGTGGGCTTTTTCAAAGCCCACCATGCAGATCATTTTCTTAGAGGAAAACTCATGGATTTGGCCACCTCATTTTTGCTGGTGAAGTTCCTATTTTTTGCTACGCAAATCCCAGAATTATTCCATGGTGATATAAACCCAAGTTTTGATGGTCGAGTAAAATGCCTATTTCTTCATGGTTCAAACCATGCTTTTTCACGCCAAATCCTTATTTTTCATGGCAAAAACCATATTTTTCCATGGTAAAAACCATATTAAAACGGTAAAACCCGATTTTTCATGGTAAAACCCCATGGATTTCCCAGCCGACTCCCTGTCCAAGGACAAGGTCTTAGACGCGGAGCTGTCACCTACCATTTTGCCCGTGGACCATGGCTCCCAGCGCTACTCCGGAGGACCTGTAACCGAAGCACACATCCGACACCTGCGGAAGAAGGCGTGGTCGTGGTGTTTTGAGATATCGACCATCAAACGGGCCATAATTACAATGGTTGCGCAATCCTGAACCAGTTGATGGATGTTGATGGTTGATCCCATTATTTAATATTATTTATAGGATTTCAACCATCCAAGCACATAATATACAATTTTTGTTTCCCGGCAGCCGGCCGGCAAGCCGCAGCCGACCAGCGGCGGCAAACGGCCGGCAACCGGCCGCACCGGCCGGCAACCCGCACCGGCCGCCGGCAACGAGCCGGCCAGCGGCCGGCAACCGGCCGGCAACCGCACGGCCAGCGGCCGGCCACCGGCCGGCACCCTTTCGGCATGCAACGCGGCCCACCCGCTATGGAAACAAGCTATACTATACTTGGTGGATGGTTTTGGTCTAAAGCATTTGCAAGTAACATGCAACCTAGTTGTAAAGTATTTACAGCCTAGTGTAAGTCAAGCTAAGTAAGCTAAGTTTTTATCTTATTTTACGCTAGTTGTAAGTATTTACTAAAGATAAACTAGATAGTTAAGTTTTGTAAGTTTTTTTGGAGTTAACAAAAAACCAACCAGAATAACTTATAAGTAACTTAGGAAATTTAACTTCTTTTTCGAATTAAGAGCTATTTTTTTTTGTCTTGCCTAAGACATTAGAACTTGTCTGTTGGTTTCTTTTGAGAAACACCATATATATATAATGTTTCATTCTCTTGAGTTGCCCGGTTCCCACATCTGCCATGTTGCAGCTAGATCCGCTGCCACTTCTTTTTGATGTTGTATTCAATCTGTTTGTTGAACATGCCAAAAGTTAGGCCAGCTTCACCGACATTGCAACAGCTTCTGCGAAACGCAACACTACTTTGAAGACGTTGACGAACCATTTCAATTGCTTCTATAGGTTACTTCCACCTAAGCCCGTGCAACATCACATTCAACATTCACTGAACTCCTTGCCCCTTTCGAATGCATTGTATGTCCAACTGCGATTCTGCACCAGCCCGATTGTAAATACGCAACTTCCCGTATTGTGCAACTCCGCTTGTGCAACGCGGGTCTCCGGATTGCGCAACTCCGCACGCCCTCCCTATGATCGCATGCCGACCCTTGGGAAACCCCATGAACTTCAAATTGACCTTGAATGTGTACAAGGGTAAGAAGATATCCAAATCCCATCCCCATGGAACTTCAACTTGACCTTTGAGTGTGCAATGGTAGGAAGATATCAAAATTCCCACCCCCATGAAGCTTCAAATTGACCTTCAGTTTGTGCAACGGTAAGAAGATACCAAAATTTCCACCTTCATGGACCTTCAAATTGACCTTTGCGTGGGTGCAATGGTAATTAAGAAGACGTCGAAATTCCCACCCCCATGGAACTTCACATTGACCTTTGAGTGTACAATGGTAGGAAGATATCAAAATTCCCACCCCCATGGAACTTCAAATTCACCATTGAGTGTGTACAATGGTCGGAAGAAGATATGAAAAAAATGCACGCCCATGGAACTTCAAATTGACCTTGGAGTGTGTGCAATGTTCAGAAGATATCAAAATTCCCACCCCCATGGAACTTCAAATTGACCTTGAGTGTGTACAATGGTAAGAAGATATCAAAATTTCCACCCCCGTGGAACTTCAAATTGACCTCGAGTGTGTACAATGGTAAGAAGATATAAAAAAAATCCCACCTCCGTGGAACTTCAGATAACCTTTGAGTGTGTACAATGGTAAGAAGATATCAAAATTCCCATGTACAATGGTAGGAAGATATCAAAATTCCCACCCCCATGGAACTTCAAATTCACCTTTGAGTGTGTAAAACGGTATGAAGATAACAGAATTACCACCCCCATGGAACGTCAAATTCACCTTGAGTGTGTACAATGGTTAGAAGATATCAAAATTCCCGACCCTATTGACCTTGAATGTGTACAATGGCAATGGAAAAGTCATACAAATTCCCAGCTCATGGCATTTGAATTTGATATTGAGTGTGTACAATGGTAACTAAGAAGATATCAAAATTCCCACCCCCACCAAAATTGAAATTGACCTTGAGTGTGTACAATAGGGTTTTTGCTTTTTCAACTTTGACATGGCATGCAAGTGTCAACCTCGGCCTGTGGCACTTGGAGATCGGATTGATACTTTCTGTTGTTTTCTACATGACATGAGCTTCTCCTGCGTGGACTTTTTCAGAATCCCAGCAGGGAGTTTCATGATCTGATTTCTGGGTTTCAAAATCCCTCTTCAGAGTTTCACAATCTGGTGTTAGAGTTTCACAATCCCCCCGGCAGAGTTTCACAATACGATTTCCTAGTTTCACAATGCAAGTTTCACAATACGACCGGCAAGTTTCAGAATACAACCTCCAAGTGTCACAATCCAAGTTTCAGAATCCATTCTCCACATTTCGCAATCCGATTGCCAAGTTTCACAATCCGACGTTGACCTGTTCACCAAGGGTTTCTTCAAGGTTTCCTTTGAATTTCTTGATGGTTCCTTGCATTCTTCTTCAGGTTCCATTTAGTGCATGTTCAAAGTTTTTGCAAGGTTTCCTTCAGGTTTCTTTCCATGTTTCTTGCGCGTTTGTTTCACGGTGTCTTGACGCGTTTCTCTTACAATTTCTTTGCGGGTTTCTTTTGGTTTTCTTGCACGGTTTCTTTTAAGTTTCTTGCTGGTTTCTTGACGGTTTCTTTCTGGCACGCATTTTTTGACAGCTTTCCCCGATCGAGGCCCGCAACAGCGGAACCACAGACCCTATTTTCGCGCCCCTAAGAGCCACCTATAAAAATACATAGTTTCGCGCCCGACAATGTTTTCACCCGCAAATTCAAACGCTGCCAGGTTTTTCATTCTTCAACTATTCCAGGTTGGGGGTTGACATGATGATGCGGTTGACATGTCCATGTTAAACATGGCTACCGTCCCTTATTTGGAAGTTTCCTAATTACTTAACTTTCCCAACCGGCTTCTGCCGGCAACCGGCACCGGCCGAGGCCACCGGCACCGGCCGGCAACCGGCCCGGGCCGGTCACGCGGTATATAGGCCCGGCACCGGCCGGCACCGGCCGGCACCGGCCGGCCACCGGCACTGGCCGGCAACCGGCACCGGCCGGCCACCGGGTGCACCTTCAGACGTACGGCCCGGCAAGGTGGTACAGGATTTCTTCCACAGTATGAGGTATCTATCCCAACTGTTGCGTGTTACTATATTTATTACATGTTATTAGTAGTTTTTACCATGGCTATAGGATGCTAGAGGCCATTATAACCCCGTTCATAACCCCAACTGCACCCTCAAGCATGATATGGCGGGAAACCCAAGATATGAATGCATGTATACATGTATACATGTATACATACATTACATTACAGTACATTACATTACATTACATTACATACATATATATATATATTCTACATAGAATGCTTGGTGTAAACACTATTTAAAATGTTGAAACTGACAATTGGTATACTGCAGTGTTTTTGTTTCGCCCTTTATGCTTATATTAATGCTTATACTACATTAAAATCGTTTGGTATTCCCAGTAAAATACGCAGCAAATTGGTTGAATGGGATGGTCGTTTCTGTGGTGATCAGTTTTCGATCCGCCACAGGTGGGTATTGTCCCTGTGGTGAAACAGATCGACACTCTGGCAGCGGAATACCCCGCAGAGACCAACTACTTGTGACTTGCGGTGGATCCATCAGCGAAATCCGAAGTTTCCCCCAGGTCTATGAAGATAATGCCTATTCATATCTATTCATGTCTATTCAAATCTATGAATCTATAAATATCTATTGAATATTTGTCTATTCTCACAAAACAGTTGAGAACTGGTAGCATGTCCTGAGTCGACCAGTCTGACCCCTAGTCCCATCGCTGCGGCGTTTCAGGTACCTCACCTACAGCGGCGAGGAGCATGACGTTGACCTGGCAGGCAGCGAGAAGCAATGCTCTGAGCTGACGATCACGGAGCCGAATGGGGGGGCCATGGCATGGCCCATGGCTGGGCTGGAGGTGCCCCCTTAGGGGCCAAGTAGTGGAGAGTTTCTATGACTTTCTGCAAGAGGTGTCGGGACTTGTTGATGGTTTTGGTGGTAAGATTCACTGAGAAGAAACCATGTTTTCATAAGGATGTCGTGGTTGACAAGAACCCAACATGGGATAATCCCTTTTTTTGACATACTCCAAATGTCAAAAAATCGAATGCAATGGTCATCCAACCAGCCTCGCTGGAAAAATCCCGGACCAAACATCAATGGCCATTCCAGGATCCTAAATTGGAGGTACCTACCATATATAAGGCCTATATAACGCCTATGTAAGGGAATATCCCCACAAAATATGGCCTTATATGGTACAGTACCTCCAATTTAGGATCCTGGAATTTCCATTGAAAACAGCTATTGCTGTTAGGATAGGGTCTTGGTCTCCAGAAATCACGTTCTACACTACCCTCCAGAAAAATAGATCTGGATAGATCGATCGATACAAGCGATCGCTGGCTGGAAAATCCACTGATTTTTTTTCTACCACCTTTCCGATGGGCCCTGATATACCTCCTTCTGGTGATTGCCATATATATATATATATATTGACCATATATCGTTGCAACCATGGATCGCACTTGTTCTGGATATCCTCCAACTATATATATATATAGCTGGATACAACTGGCTAGTGGACTGTAACTCATTCACTAGTCCACTCATTTGATCTTTTGGATATGTCATAATATCCCAAGGAATCCCCAGTGTTGATGGTCAAACCATCATTCGTATTCCATCATATTCCCATTAGATTTCAATTTTTGACGGTTAAATCATCATTTTTGCCAGCCAAATCACAATGTTTCACAGTTCAAACACAAATTTGCCAGTTAAATCACAATGTTTCACAGTTCAAACACAAATTTGCCAGTTAAATCACCATGTTTCATAGTTCAAACACCATTTTTGCCAGTTAAATCACCATGTTTCACAGTTCAAACACCATTTTTGCCAGTTAAATCACCATGTTTCACAATTCAAACACCATTTTTGCCAGTTAAATCACCATGTTTCACAGTTCAATCACCATGTTTGCCAGCCAAATCACCATGTTTCACTGTTCAAACACCATGTTTGCCAGCCAAATCACAATGCTTCACAGTTCAAACACCATTTTTGCCAGTTAAATCACAATGCTTCACAGTTCAAACACCATTTTTGCCAGTTAAATCACACTGTTTCATAGTTAAGTCACCATGTTTCACAGTTCAATCACCATTTTTGCTGCTTACATCAACTAAACCGGTGAGGCCGACGCCACAAACAGGGACCAACCACGGTAGGACCTGACCAGCGACATCCCAGAGCCCTTAACCCTGCACGGCGGCAACGTGCCCACAGAGAGCGGCTCGGCCAAGGCTAAGTCATGGGGCTACCCCCAATCATCCCTGACTTTTGGATGACTTAGAGACTTAGTAATTCCCCCAAAGAATGGTAAAGTCCTACTAAAACTATCTAAAACTGTTAAGATCATAGAAGATCCGACTAACAATGGTTGAAATTTATGGTAGAAACATAGTAGAACTAGTGGGAAATCCTACTAAAATAGTGGTGAAGGATGGTAAAACTATGTAAAACAAAAACAAACATCATGCATTGTTCTATCTCTTCTTTATTCTATTTTATATCCAACCAATATAAAAAAGCCTTTCAATGCTTTCATGTTTTGCCCTAAATGGTATACTGTATACTGAAGGTTGGCCAAAATTAACCACTGAAATGTCGATTCAATGCATTTCACCAGTTCTTGTTTGCAGTTAACTCAAAAAGTCATCCCCAAATAGATGGAAAACTAAATCACCATCAAATTAGTAGGGATTTACTTTTGCATCTATTTGGGGATGACTATATATATATATACCATAATAAATGACAACCACATTTTGTTCGACCTTTTGATCAACACGATTCCTGTTGTGAACAAGTCTGATTCCTGAGCAACCAGATTTTGTGTCGACATTGAAGTAGTTTCCCGGGTGAAGCAACATTCTTTCGGTCCCTTGTCTGCAGAGCAAGCTCTTTTGCTGTGGGTCTCAGACCAGAAACCACGGATGGGCACCCTTTGACAATCAAATATAGTCAGAGCAGTGGAAAAACTCCACTATCATCAGCTAAGTCATCTACACTTAATGTGCAGGGATGTTACGGGATGTTTCATGTTTTTTTTTTCCAGTGCTACGTTTGACGCCATGATTATCCCATAGGATCCATGTATGGTATATATGCTAACATTGGGGGTATATTAATGGTAAATGTTACCATATATGGCATACATGGATCCTATGATTGTGTAAGGGATCTCATTACAGGGAGCCTGGCGTCAACTCACGCAGAATTTTCCCAGACCCTCTCAGGTCTGCAGATGAAAGGCGACGACCCAGAACCTTGGTGGATGTTTGGTGGATGTTTTCTGTCTGGCAATCACAGCTCGTCATTTATAAGCATTTTATAAGCATTTACCCTCTGGTAAACTAACATAGCTATGGAAAATCACCATGCTATCAATGGGAAAACTCACTATTTCTATGGTCATTTTCAATAGCTATGTTAAATTACCAGAGGGTAAATCCCATTAATATCCCTATTGAATCACTATAAAATCCCATTGAATGATATATTGGGATATAAAATCCCTATTACCAGAGGGTATATTAATTGATGATATAATGGTTGGGATGTATTGGGATAATTGGGATATAGCCTTTGGTTTCATCAGCTCCATGGCTGGGCTGGGTATCATGTTCGCTGGTTTTCCGTACTGAAAAACGATTCCCGCTACGTTTAATGGGGTGATACCCTCTGGTGAACTAACATAGCAATTGAAAATTGCCATTTATAGTGGATTTTCCCATTAAAAATGGTGATTTTCCATAGGTTTTTGTTAGTTCACCAGAGGGTAGCAACAAAGAAATGGCTGGGCTATCACCGGATCCAAGGAGTCGCGCATCATCGTCCTGGGCTGCGGGCCTTACCGCATCGGCAGCAGCGTGGAGTTCGACTGGTGCAGCGTGAGTTGCGTCCGGACGCTGCGCACGGTGGGGCACAAGGCCATTGTGATCAACTGCAGCTTGGCCAAGGATGACCCTGTGAAAACCATGGAAAACACCATTTTTAATAGGTAAACCAGGTAAACCATGGAAAATCACCATTTTTAATAGGTAAACCATCTATAAATAACCAGAGGGGTTGGTAAATGTCCCATTTTGGGAAGATTGGACATCACCTAAAAAAGTAGCCATGGCATTGACCATATACCGATTTTGGTTGGGTGATGTTCAATGGGGACATTTAATGACCCATGTTAAAACCCGGTCCATGGCGCATGAAATATCATGAAATTATGTCCCGACATGGTGTGTTGGACACCCATTTCATGGCGATAGGGATAGGGGATAGTCGATAGAAACGAGGACGCAGGGTGTCAAGGAATATGTACACACGATGGTGGCCATGGATGCTTGAGCAACCATGGCCCAGTTACCCAGAAAAACACTGGGCCGTATGTCCGCTGATGCACTTGATCATGATTGTTTTGAAAAGCTAATAGTCAGTATACGCAATGGTTGGGAGTGCGGGCATTAGCAAATATATAATATATATATAATAAATAACCAATAGACAACCATTTCACAGCAGTTTGGGTGGTCTAAACCCTCCTTAAAACTGGCGTTTTTTCATTTGGTTTATAATATATCAAATTAAATGATATTAAATGTTTTTCATATGCTTTTCCCAATGAACGAGACGCGACTCGTGTCGTGGATTTCACCGCAGGCAACCCCGAGACCGTCTCCACAGACTTCGACGAATCCGATCGCTTGTACTTCGAGGAATTGAGCCACGACGCTTGGGATTCAGGCAGTCCCCGGACACGAGGTGTGACAGGCAAAAAATGGAGGTTTGATGGGAGGTTTCACCAAGAAAACCGATGAAAAATGACGGTTGAAACAACCAGAACCCATGGGTTTCGGACAAAGCCGGAGCCGCCATAGCTGAAGGGCAATGATGGCAGAGGCCTTGGTGATTGATCCCTTCCCTCTGATGTTAGCGATCACCACATTTCTGGAGAATTTCGTAGATAAATCATATTCAAAAGCACAATTTACCAGCCCAGAAATGGAGAAGATCATCAAAGTGGGCGGACACAACAATCAAACCCAGTTAGACGTTTAAGATCCCAGAAATGGCTTGTGTTTTGGTACTTTCCTCAAACTCCTTGACAGCCTCCGATACCAGCCATCAACTCCTGGAAGCGTGAAATGCCGATGACTTTGGTGCTTTTGGGATGGTTTATTCAGACCAGACTACGTGTCATTGTAAATGGATTACAAATGAGCTGGTTATTCCTCTATATCCATATTATGTCATTCTGCCATATTCTACCTAGACCCTCCAAATACCAACATATACCAACCCAAAAGTGGCAAAAGTACTAATTTCATGGGCTTAAAAACTCAGCATTTTTCATGGTGTCCGATGTTTATGGCTCCGGGTCAATCCTTTTTTATTACCAACCTGAGGAGTTGGTGACCCACTGACCCACTGAAGCCCAGCCACTCAGCCACCAAGGAGCGGGTCATGGACATCAGCGAGTTGGAGAATCCCCGGGGCGTGGTTATCTCAGTGGGAGGCCAGACGCCAAACAACTTGGCCGTGGGCCTCCACAGGTGGGGTGGGTCGAGGGTCGCGCCGGTGGATGTGGGGTTCCGCGGGGGCAACAAAAAACAAGAGGTCGACCTGGAAAGTTCTTGGAAATCAGTATGTTCATGATATTTCATGATTTTTTTCATTATATAATTATATTATTATTATATTATTATTATATATTATTTATTATTATTATTATATATATATATATATGTACATAGTAACGTGATGTAAGATGTTATCACTGATGTTCCAATGCAATCCATTGATGCACTGTATGAGTGCTGTATTTCTTGATATAGACTTCCAGTTGCGATATCCAAGAGCCTTTGAATTGGTGGAAAAACATGCAGGGGGTTGCCCCCCTACTTGATGGTTAAAGACATGGTTTCAACATGTTTCAACCCTAAATGCTCCAACATGGGGATGGGTTACCGTAAAACTTATTTGCGATATTTGGGAGGGAACATCCCTTTAGCAGCTGGGGGTTCACCAGGGTACCTGGGTTTTGACCCGTAGGCATATCATGGCATATCCATCCAATCTTCAATCTTTATCTTGGTACAGGTAGTTAAAGCATTTACCCTCTGGTTATTCAACGTAGCCATGGAACATCATCATTTTAAACAGGTGCAAACAGGTAAATCATCATAAATCATCTCGAAATGTGCCATTTTCTACGCGGCTACTGTATATTATATATATGATATATATGTGTGTGTGTGAAATAACCAGAGGATAAATCCCGCATTTCCCCCCTTCAATCCGATTTTTCAGGTTTTTTTCCAGAGATCCATGACCTCCTTTTCCGTGTGCCGTGCAGGTGCGGCATCCGCATTTTGGGAACTTCAGTGGAAGCCATCGACGCGTGCGAGGAGTTGCGGACAGGTGATGAGTGGATGCTTAAGAAATCCCACAAAATCCTTAGATCTTCAATCCCATAGGATCCATGTATGGAATATTTAACAACATTTACCCTAAATATCACCCAAATGTAGGTAAATTTGCCATACATGGGTCCTATGGGAATGATTTTGAATGTGTCTTTGGGTTTGTATTTTCACTTTTTAGCAGGGGATCAACAATCTATCAAGTGACAAACGGTGAAGCAGTTTGAAGTGGGACATAGTGGGTTCTGGAACCCGTACATTTCAATCGTTTGTTTGTTTGCATGGAATTTATAGGAACTCCCAATGATGGCACCTCTATTCCCATATGACCCAGAAGCTTTTTATACACTATATCATACTATATCATACTATTGTGGTTTCTTATGGGAATAGAGGTGCCATCATGTACCATCATTGGGAGTTATAGATTCCTCCAGACATGCTGCGGAGCGCCGAAACGCCAGGACCGCAACAAGTTCAGCAAGTTATGCGACTCCCTGCGGGTGGACCAGCCCGAATGGTCGCAGTTTGCCACCCTGGAAGAAGCCAGGAGGTTCTGCAAGACCGCAGGTGGGGGATAGGGAAACTCTCCACCTAGACCAGCCCCCATAAAAATGGTGACTTACTTCATAAGAATGGTGGTTTATCACGCTTTATCCCATAAAAATTATGTGTTTTACCATAAAAATTGTTGTGTTTTACCCCATAATTGGAGTATTTGTCCAGTGGTGTGCGCATGGCCCCCAGGCTACCCGGTGCTGGTGCGTCCCTCCTACGTGCTCAGTGGCGCCGCCATGCGGGTTGTGACCAATGACGACGACCTGGACCTCTTCCTGAAGACGGCTGCGGTGGTGGCCTGGGTTGAGATGGGTGGAGAATGCTGGGGCGTTTCCAAGACTTAGAGACTTAGAAGTGGAAAACCCCCGCCATTTACGGACATTTACGGACTTATGTTGTTGTTGATTTTGAGTGGTTCCATTCGTGGACCAAACAATCCCATTCTGGACATGGAATATGCCTTTCAGTCACTTAAGTTGTCAACTTAGCTCCTGATTAATCAACCCATCATTGATACATTGGTGGCACCTCCACCTCTCCGGGCTGGCGGTAAGGTGAGCCGAGATCATCCAGTGGTGATCTCCAAATACATTACCGGAGCCAAGGAGGTGGAGATGGATGGTATTGGAAAGGCATCCTGGACCATGGCCCCAGCATCCGGCCGGGCAGTTGGGGCATGACATTTTTTTCAGATCTCTATATATATATAACATTCTAGAACTATATATAATTATATAATATTAATTGTATATACACATTTATATTTTGCGGGAGATGTGTATGATATGACCATGTTTGCAATAAGGTGTTTCACCCTCCAAAATTACGATGGATGTCAAGTGGATCATCCAGGGGCGAGTCGCGCTTCGCGCCGAGTCCTCTTAAGGAATTAGAGACCAGCAAACATAACACCAAATAACATCAATAATAATGGCATATATATATACATAATTATAATGGCATATATATATAATAATAATAATAATAACAATAATAATAATAACAATAATAATAAAATGGTGTTGCATCTTTATAGAATCACTATAATCACTAGTGATGGCACAAATCAACATGTGCCCCTCTATATATAGGATATGCAGATCGCTGATCCCCTTGGGGACGGATCCGCTGAAATCCCCCAAGGCGGGGGAGCTGGTGAACTATGCCATTGCCGAGCACATCGAAAATGCAGGCGGATGCTGGGTAGATCTCATCCCATAACCACCCATAACCTTTTAGTGCCAACCCCGGATTTTGAATAAAAAACAATATGGTTTATTAATTGGGGGGGGTACCCCCCAATTAAACAGCCGTTTGGGGTTTATTAATCCAGGGTTGACATTACACATTTTACACTGGGAACTGAATGAGTCCAGGTACTGGAAACAAAATTGAACGAGGCTATTTTCCACGGGGTGAATTACCAGAGGGTAAAATCTTCGGGAAATACCTAATATGGCAGTGTGTCAAAACCTTGTACCCCTGGTGAACATCAAAATAGCTGGTAAATGGATGTTCATCCCCCTAAAAATGGTACTAATAGGTATTGATCCATACCTAATGTTTTTTTTTCCCCCCAGACAGCAAGACACCAATCAACTGTTTGATGACGATGAAAGCCCATGAAAAAACCGTGCAACTATATTATTTGGGTTGGTTACTGTAATGTTAAATCCACCACATTCTGTTTCTTAAAATCCCATTAATCTAACATAAAATCCCAACATGATCCATAAATTAATTACCAATATTCAAAATTATCATCGCATATTATGACATCTCAAATTCCCGATAGAGCTCATAGTTTTCCCCTATACTCAATGGATTGGCTTAAGGTAAAATCGCCGGAAACCATGAAATTTCCCGTGAAATATCGGGGTTTCCGGTGATTTTTGTTTCCCTTAAACCAATCCATTGAACTACTCTTGGTACCCCGGCCTCACTCAAGGCGTGCATAGCGGCGACGCCACCCTGCTGTTACCCGCCCAGCGACTCTTTGTGGAGACGCACCGAAGGGTCAAGAGCCACTCGGTCGGTCGACGAGTCGACGGGTCGTCGACGCGACGAGTGGCTGGAAGAGCCCGGAAGATATCATGGGAACCTATGGGATTATAATGGGAATATCATGGGAATATCATGGGAATATAATGGGAATATCATGGGAATATCATGGGAATATATGAACACATAGTTGAACATAACATATCTATGGGAATCTGTGCCAACCTGTTGGCTATGATTTTTATCCCAATCGGATTCTGAGGGATAACATGCCAATGGATATCAATAGCGATATAATAGGACCTATACCCTCTGGTACACTGAAATAACTATGGAAAATCACCATTTTCAATGGGTAAATCCACTATTTCTATGGCCAAATTTTCAATAGCTATGTTAGTCATTACCAGATCCACTATTTCTATGGCCATTTTTTAAATAGCAAAGTGTTAGTCATTACCAGAGGGTAGGACCTATACGACCTAAGATGGAGATTTGAACAGTGTTCAAAACCCAATATTTTTAAGGTCCCTTACTGGTTACTGCTTGGTTTCAAGTGATTTCTCATGATGATCGTCCCCGGAAGACAAGCGACCTGAAAGCCATCCTAAGGATGGCCCAAGTTTACACCGGTAGGGACCTAAAAGCGATACCCACCAAAGTTGTTTATCATTGATTTAACTCATTGATTTACCACATCAAGATCCTAACTCCACCTCAAAACAAAAGAACTCATCGCTACTTCATCATGATTTATGGCGATTTCAATGATTCAAACAATGTTGAACTTGCATAATCATGATTTGACCCGAACTTGGAGAGAAACCAGCCACCGCAAGGGGAGGCCTGAGTATTTAGCAGCTCGCATCCAGCTCCAACCAGGCATTTCCGCGAAGCTTTGCAAAGCTTTGAAGATTTCGGGGCCATTCAATATTCAGTTCATTTGCAAGGAGCCAGATCAGATAGAGTGCCGCATCATGGCATATCCACTGAAGAGCTAAAGTGGATTCATGTCATGGTTTGACCTTGTCCCGGCCACGTTAAAGTCCCGGCCATGCACGTAGTCGCACACGGCCGTGTCCCATCCGAATGACATTGGTGTACCATATATCGCATTGAGACATTGCCTGTTTCTTGGCTATTGTTATACCCTCAGGTAAACTAACATAACTAGAAATCACCATTTTCAATGGGTAAATCCACTATTTCTATGGCCATTGAAAAAATAGCAAACTGTTAGTCATTACCAGAGGGTAGTTCGTATATGTTCCAATCTGGTAATATGAGCATCCATGGGCATCCCCACTTATTGCAGCCTGTATTATCCCATCCCCAACTCATGCGCCAGGACAACGAGGTGAAGGTCATCGAATGCAACTTGCGCGCCTCACGCTCCATGCCCTTCATCTCCAAGACGTACAATGTGAATTTTATCGAGCTGGCCACACGTCCCTGGGATCGAAGAGGATCAAAGTTGGTGATATTTTATGATGCCCAAAAATACACGAAGGTACCCTCTGGTAATTTAACATAGCTATTGAAAATCACATTTTTTAATGGGAAAATTCACTATAAATGGTGATTTTCCATAGTTATGTTAAATTACCAGAGGGTAGATAGAGAGAGAGAGAGAGAGATGTGGAAAACCAATGGCTCCCCTAGAATGATCTACAAATGCCGGGTTTTGATGGTGGTTTACAGGAGGTTATTTAGTTTGGCTAAGTGAGACATCCACTGTTTCTCTTCAGGCCTAAGTGAGGCAAACTTGACCTCATGGGTGTTGTGAAAATTGAGAGCGTTAAGTTCAGGCCCAATAGACCATAATAAACCATAATAAACCATAATAAACCATGAGAAAGCCAGAAGTATAGCAGTATGGCATATATATATATATAAACATAGTATATATATATATAGTAAATATATATGAATCTAAGATAGTATATAATATAGTATATATATATATAATATAGTGTATATATATATGTATATATATATACGTAGTATAGCCACTTTCCGTGGACATGGCTTTGTGGATGCTTCACCCACTCCAGCCCATCTTCGTCACAGCAGCTCGGTTTCAGGGATCATGTCCGGGCTGCCTGTGTACCCCGCGATCATCCAGCCGATGGACATCGACTATGTGGAAACTTGACGTGGATTACCGGTAATTTAGCTGCTATGGAACATGGCCATTGATAGTTGGTATCTATATATTAAGAATGGTGATTTTCCATAGGGATCCAAGTCGGTTGCTCTGAGATGTCCTTCAAAGTGGCTTCTTGACGCGTCTTGTTCCCCAAATCTATGTGGTTGAAACGCGTTGAAATTCATGGCCCGTGGGCACCTTCAATTTCATGGCAAAAGCAAACACCCATCCCCATCCATCAATCCATCCATCCATCCATCCATTCATCCATCCATCCATCCATCCATCCATCCCCCCATCCATCCATCCATCCACCCACCCACCCACCCACCCATCCATCCATCCATCCATCCATCCACCCACCCACCCTCCATCCATCCATCCATCCATCCATCCATCCATGTGTCACCGTCCGAGGCCTGCAAAGTGCCCATGTTCTCCTTCGGACGCCTGAAGAATTCCGATCCCCGGCTGGGCGTTGAGATGTCCTCCACCGGCGAGGTGTGGGGGGTGTGGGGCGGGCCCGGTGGCTTTCGGCAAATGTGTGGAGGTTATTAGGCTACTTTCGTATTGAAACAAGCATGGTGACGGGAATCCCCCATGACTTAGGAAACCTCCATGTCTCAACATGGACATTCACTTTGCATCAGTTTCTTCTGCATCATCTTAGGTTTGAAGCAGTTGCACACTTGCGTGTGGCAAAAAAACATGGTTGTTCGAGGTCGAGAGACGGTCACAAAAGGATCGATGGAGATTCATCCATTAGATGACTATAACAGGTGGCATGCTTTGGAGTCAACGCCTACGAGGCTTTCCTGAAAGGCAGGGGCAGCTGTCATGTTTGAGGTGCAGAACATTGCAGAACCACCTTTGAAACAGCATTCGGAAAGCAAGGCATCAAATTGGGGTCCAAAACATTTTCATACATCACAAAAAATAAAAGATCATCCTTATAAGATCTTATAAACATGTGGGGATGGGTCAAAACCCTGGTGCCTAGTGAACATCAAATAGCTGGTAAATGGATGTTCATCCCACTAAAAATGTATCTATAGGTATTGACCCATACCCATGTCAATTTTTCTGGGCTTCATTTCAGGGTACATCGATTTTTTGCCTATTTTGGTTCCACATCTCCTTGCTGACCCAGGTATGCTGGCGGCCAATTTCAAGCTGCCAGCGAAGAACATCGTCGTCTCCATCGGCCCCGTCTCGGTGACACGACTGCAGGGCCTTAGGTTTTTTGGTCAGGGAGAACGGTTCCAAAAAACCTCAAAATAATGGCGTAATGTATCTAAAATGTATCTAAATGTATAAGGATTGTGAGGCTAGGGTTCATGAATTTTGATGAATTTTGTAGCCCAAAGGGTTGTTTGCCCCGACAGATATTGAATATGAGTCCTGCTGCCACAAACTTGTTCTGTCCCAAGATTCCATCAATTCCATCCCGCAACAGGCCGAGCCACCGAGCCACCGCTCCCAGGCCAAGACCGAGTTCGTGAACACCGGGGCGGCCCGACAGCTGCAGGACATGGGTTTCAGTCTCTTTGCCACAAAGAGCACCCATGAGCAGCTCGGTGCACCGTGGGTTTTTCGGGATCTGAAAAACTGTTGATGATCTTGAATGGGTATTTTATGGTATTTTCATGTCAATGCATTTTCATGCATTTTCATGTATTTTCATGCATTTTCATGTATTTTCATAATTACTCTGATCTTGATTGCCGCGAAAGGTGGTAACCCACTAGGCGGGGTCTTAGACTTTTCCGCCGGTCCGCTCAATCAGACATGGCAATGGCAATGGTGCCATGACAATCCACATTGGAGCAAGGCCCTAAATATATCAAGATCCCTGTTACTGTAGTAGGTTGTTATAGGAGTTAAACGTTGAGCTAGCTACTTATAAGTAGGATTATTGAATATGATTGCATCCAACTACGGGAACACCATCGAACACCTATGTACCAGCTGGCTCAGTCACAGTAGGGAGATTCCTGGCTGGCCGCCAGGTATTTGACCAAGCAAGGTATCACCTGCAGTTTGGTCTACAAGCCCCTGATCAAACGGGAACCCAACGTTCTCACCATGCTCCATGCGGGGAAGATTGACATGGTCATTGATGTTCCAGACTCTATGGAACCTTGGCAGGCGGCAGCGGCGGCACTTGTCATATGTATATATATAGTTTATATATATATATATATGTGTGTGTGTGTGCATATGTGGTATAAGTACATATGTGTGTACTAATTAATTATTTGGATATGTGATATGTAATATGTCATATATATATATGTGTGTGTACTAATTAATTGTTCTAGTTGGATTTTTTATTTTGGTGGAGTCCTATCTCTGGGATGGCTGGCCCGAATGGAAAAAGTAGAGGGAGAGGGGTGGCCCTCCTACTTTCACTGGGTTCCTTTTCCCATCCCTTTGAGGATCACTAGAAAATGGGCCAACTCCAGAAAGTATGCTGTCAATGATGCATTCACCAACATTTCTCCTTTGAAATTGCGCAGATTTCTGGCCAAATCTCATTTCAACATGTAGAGCACCTACTGAAAGGATTTGCAAGAACTTCACATGTTTTACACTTGGATACGCTTGGATGTTCCCTTGGTCATTTCTCATTGTGTTTCGCCCCACTTTTGTCCCAGGTTTTGACCCAGCATCCCATGAAAAATGGAGGTTGTGTTCCAGGGTGCCCCAGGGTTTTCCATCATATCACTCCAAACATCCTCCAGGATGGTCAGTCCCAGCCATTCGCGGCCCCACGTTCCCAGGACTCAGACGCCTTGACGGACGGTTTCAAGATGCGCAGGGGAGCCATTGAGGCTGGCGTCTCCCTGATCACGGACATCAAGACAGCCCCTTGGCCGAGAAAAGTCCGGACTCAGAGGGTCCGGACATGGGGGATGGGGCCCTGAAGAATGCCCATTGAATAGTAGAACAGAGTGGGACGCACCAGGCACATCAGTTGCCAGAAAGCACTTTGTTGAGAATAGTTTCGAGTATTTTGAGTTACCTCTGGTTTTGCTACTTAGACCCCGCCAGGGTTGGAGGGGTCGCCTTTTCTGAAGCCCAGGCCATTTTCGCGGTCACCGCCATGCACAAGAAGCCTGACTTTGCTGAGTGATTTGTGTTTATTTCCAGCAGATCCACCAAACATATCCTGGTTGGTGGTTTGGAACATTTTTTATTTTCCCCAATAGTTGGGATGATGATCCACTTTGACTAATATTTTTCAGGAGGGTTGAAACATGTTGAAACCACCAATTAGTATCACTCATATTAGCGAGCTACCCCGGACGAGTTCTTGTCAACATCTTTTTCTCAAGATCTTTTGAGCAAATCTAAGGAAATGGATGCGAGAAAGCAGCGGCAAATCCTTCTGGGCGGCTCGGATAAAATGGTGGTGGTGTTTTATGTGGTGTTTTCATGTGTTTTCTTCCAGGTAACGATTTGCAGTTCAGAAGTTCAATCTAGTACCCATAGGATCCATGTATGGTATATATATATATATATATATTGGGGGTATATTGATGGGATCCATGGCACACCATATATAGCAGCACCATGGATCCGTCATGGGGTATACTATAATATACTTCAATGCCCGCAAGATGCGGACGAAAACTGGGATACATGTGGTTCATAACCTTGGTTCTAGCGACTCTTGGCAGGCTGCAGGTCCGAAAATCGAATGCACTTAGAATCGCCGGTGCTTCTGATCCTTCGTCACATATGATATCATATGTACTGTGCATAAACTAAATGATAATATTCATATATATTCATATATATTCACATATATTCATATATATACACGTATTTATGTAATTGTATACATATGTGTAGTATTCTATTTACGTATATGCACACACCACACACATATATACAATACATACAATCACACACACACGCATATATTATATTATAATATATTATATTATATTATAATATATTATATTATATTATATTATATTATTATATAATATATTATATTATATTATATTGTATTGTATTATATTATGTTATATTATATTATATTTTATTATATTGTATTATATTATGTTATAATATATTATATTAAGATATATGTACGTTGTATACATACATCGTATTGATGATGATAATCTCACCATATCCGTGTCCTATACCACATATGCTTACATGGTTCATGTATGACACTAATAAAGGGATTGCGGAGGTGCAGGTTGGGACAGGATCGGACACGGCAACCAAGGACATCTGCTCCTGGCAGGAGTATGTGGAGATTGTGGAGAGACTAAACTGAGTGGATCATTTAGTCGAATCCATCAGCTCTGGTGACTCTGGTGTTGGGTGAAACAAAAAACAGAGACTGGCAGCTTCCAGTCGGCTTCAGTTTGCTTGCAGTCTGTGAGATTCAGGGCCATTTGCTCTCGCCCTTGGGTCTCACAGACTTAGGGTGCAAGCATGGGGTGGGGCCCTGGGGCCCTGGGGTTTGGGTTTTCGGCAGATCTTGGAGAGATTTTGCCTGAAGTTCTTCCTCTTTTGGACCTGTGTTCAATGACCTTCGGGCCACTTTTGTGACTCTAGGCCCTGGCGTGGGCGGGCGGAAACAAAATTTTGTGCCTCCAGAACCACTACATGCCACTACCCAAAATTACTTGCTGCTCATTTTCATCAGGGTTTATAGCCTGCGTGGTTGGGGCCTTGTCTTGTTTCCGCTGGGCCCACAGGGGCAGCCACTTTCTCCCACAACTCGATGCGGGAACAGCCAGATGGCGATTGAAAATAGAGCGGATCTGGTGCTGTTGGGTCATTATCATTCAGCCAGATATATTAGTATACATATATCACATGTTATTTGCCCTTTGGTAATTTAGATAGAACTATATGGAAATATCATAATTTTTCATAGATTAATTCTTCTATAACTGGAATCTTTCCATAACTATGTTAAAAAATGGAGGGTAAGTTTGTGGTAATTTACAAGGTGGAGCCCCCAAACAGTAGCTAAGTTGACTTAACATAACTTGGTTAACGTTGGGGTTTATGGATAATTTTTGAATTCATCTAAAATCATGGGGGTTATAAACCAACACACGGGGGGGGCGACCTTGCAAGCGCCTACTGTATGCGTTTCTACAGGCACCCACCATCTTCAGATCCTTGAAACATGGCTTTCACCAGTCGTTTTCCATTTGTTTTCGAACAGTTGACCCCCAAGGTATATCCACGTCTTTCCACTTCTTTCCTCAGTTCAATTGATAGTGCCATCAAATGCTCAATAATCCACAGATTATCCACATGATATTCCCATGATTATCGATCATTATTGATTATCGTTGATTATCATCCATTGATTATCATTAATTATCATCCATGTTCCATTGATCCACAGATTATCCACATGATCTTCCCATGATCATGATGAAAATACATTGAAATTATCATTGTCCACATGAGCAGTGCCAGTATTTTCATCATCCCATGGTGGCCGGAGTGGCCAGGAGCTTTTGGAGGGAGAGATGGGCCTGGCCCATCGCTTCATTCGCTTCGTGACCTGTCCCCATAGTCATCGTGGCTGCGATGTGCGAAAGCGCTGCGAAATCCATGATAAATCAACATTTTTTTGCTATAGTAACAGTAGTTACAATCTGGTTATTTAACAGAGCTGGCTGGAAAATCCCTTATAAATGGAGGTTTAGAGCTGGGAAAATCATCTATACATGGGCCATTTTCCGTAGCGATGTTAAATAACCGGAGGATATTCTCAACCCAGGATAATAAGCGCCTACAAGAATTGGGTGTACCATTGGTCAAGGGTGAACCCCTATAACATGGTGGTTTATTCATCCAGGGTTAACATGTTACGGGGCGATTTTACTACAAAAGATTGGGATTTTTCATGATTTTCATGTCATTGATCATCAGGATGTTTCAGCATCGAAAAATCAGCAGTGATGAGGGCCTTACTACTTTGGCAGCGCCGTCCCAAAAGGGGGGGCTTATTCTGATTAGGGAAGTGCCGGAAGTGCTAAATAATGCTATATAATACTACACACACACATATATATATATAGATGTTTCTAACAATGGGGATACCCCCAGTCATCACCCATTTATAGATGGATGTTCCGATGTTCCATTAAATAAACCATCCATTTTGAGGTACCCCCATTGTAGGAAACCATCATGATCTCAGAAAAGGAGAAACATCACACCGAATACCATGTGTTTTGAATTCGGAAAAACCTGGCTTGAAAGTCTTCATGCAGATGGGTTCTCCTATATTTCCCCATTTTGAGAAATGCACTTCCCAGCCCCTATATATATATATGTAGACGTGTGTATATATATATATGTTTATTTATTTATTTGTTTATTTATTTATCTAATTTGTTTTTAGACATTCTACATCTTGCCCGCATTTTTTCGTTGGACTTTTTCGGAAACCTAAGGCCATGAAGCTCCTGAACGACGACCTGCATGAGTTGCACTGATGGCACTGATGGGACAAAAAGTTGTGTTTTTCAGGGAAGATTGGGATACCCTATTTTTTTGTTTGTTTAAGTAGCCCATTGATAGATAGCCCATTGATAGATAATTTATTTATGATTTATAATTTATGATTATATTACCATTGATAGATGATTTATGATGATATTTAAACATGTGATTTGGCATAGCAAACTAACAACCATTATCAGACTAAAGACTTGTTTGATTCACTGTGCCACTGGTTGTTTCAGATTCAATGGCCTGTCATGTCAGCCCTCACCCCAAAAGTTTGATGAAACTATCCCAGTGGTGCCCTTCCGGTGTCATCCGCCCAGGTTTTACACCAAATGCATGCACATTTTTGACCAAGAGGCGGGAGCGAAAGGTGACCTTTTTGGCACAGGCTGACTGACAGACAGGTGAGCATGGTGAGCCATGCATTGAGAGATGTGTCTTGAACTGGGCCATGAACCCAATGCCCAGACCATTGGAGGGTTGCCCTTTAAGATCGGGGTATCTTAAAATGTTCATAACTGGTTGGTGGTTTGGAACATGAATTATATTTTTCCATATATTGGGAATGTCATCATCCCAACTGACTTTCTCATATTTTTCAGAAGGGTAGGTCAACCACCAACCAGATAAAGTTTGGATAACCATTAATAACCATTTAACATCAAGTTCAGTTAAATTGGTCATTGATTATCATCTGGGGCCGGAGTGGGCCATTTTTGCGCGGTTCACCTTCGGCGAGGTTGAGAATTTACAGCAGCAGGGCCACACGCATGCGCAATATGCGGCATTTCAAGAGCGCTTTGGACGGACCTGGCCCGGATTGTATCCTTTTTTGGGGTCCATTTCTTGATGGTTGACATTTCTTTTTGTGTACCTTATATAGGTAAAAACGTTCGCCCGAAATTGGCGAACGTGGCAGGTGTGGGATTTGTTATCATTATACTAGTGCTCAATTGATATCATCATTGGGCTTAGTATTGTTTGTATGCATAATAGCACACACACTTTGTCTTTTAGTGTCTTTGGGTGTGAATATGGTATCTCACTAAAACTTGGACTTTGAGCAGCAGGATCAACGATCATCAACAATCTGCCACATTAAATCCAGGTTTCTGTTTTTTGTAATCTTCATGACCCACCCATTAGATGGTCAGACAGGTGGATGGAAGATTCGCAAACAGGCATTTGATGCCTATGGGTTCAGGAGACACTTCTAAGAAAGTGATTGATGGAAAACATTGGACAAGTGACAAATGTGTATATAGTATATATATATATGTGTGTGGCTAATAATAGCTATATATATACACACTGACTATCATCTAACAGATGACCCAAGATGATTGCATGTGCATATTACCCTCTGGTTATGACTAACATAGCCATGGTATAGATGGCCCATAGAAATAGATGGTTTACCTAGCTATAAAATGGTGGATCTTTCCATGGCGAACTGTTAGTCATAACCAGATGGTATATCCCACTAATATTCCCATGATTTTCCCATATAAAACCATATAAAACCTCCATTTCTGGTGGATAAACCTCCATTTTCCTATGTACGGCCGTCATCAGTCGGATTCTGTTTAACGAGGTACTCTTCCATCATCGAACGCCGTCTGCTGGAATTCTGTCAGGAGGCGGTCCATATATGGTGTGCCATGGATCCCATCAACAAAAAGCCCCTTTATGTTAGCATTAATATACCAGCACCATGGATCCTATGGGGTATGGATCAAAGATTTTATCAAAATGATTGGAAAGATTGGGATGTTCTCCACCAAGAATGAGATGTTATTCAATTTCTTTGTGAACTTTAAGTGGACTTTGTGGACTTGTTACATTGTTTGTTTGGCCGATACCCAAGGGATTTCATGGCCACGGCAGGAAGGTTTCGGGCAGGACGCCCAGGCCCTCTTTAACGAGCTCTCGCGGCTGATTGAAAAGGACGGACGGTTGTGGTTTTTGGGGCCATCGGTCGCCGCTGGCGAAGCTATGGCCCATAGAAATAGTTGATTTACCCTCTGGTAAACAAACATAGCTATTGAAAATGGCCATTTATAGTGGATTTCCCATTAAAGATGGTGATTTTCCATAGTTATGTTACGTTAGTTTACCAGAGGGTACCTATTTAAAGATGGTGATTTTCCACAGCTATGTTAAATTACCTGAGGGTAATGTCACATTTTTTGGGGGGGTTCATAGAATGGGAAAGAAACAAATATTCACAAACAAAGCACATGTGGATTGCCATATGCTCTGAGCTGCTAAGACACATGTGGTAGCGTACCGAAGATTGGCCATGTCTTGATTGAGAAAGTAGCTGTTGTGAGGATTTGTACCTGATTTGGGGTCAAAAATCAGCACCACCTCCCGCCCAAATCAAGCTTTATATCTGAAGGGATTGCCAATTATGAGGAGGACACCAACAAAAAGCAGCAAACCTGACATGGTGACTGGGGCCTGCCTATCATAGGAAGTGTCTTCCTATGGAAGGTGAAATTATCCTGCTAGAGGGAGCGGTGTGTTGGGAGCGGTGAATGGGTATCCATATGCCATCATATTCCCCAGGAAAATTCATGGGGAGCCAGCCAGGGAGCTATGAATTGAGTGGGACCCAACCCCATAACTCAATTCATAGTTGGATTTTGTTTCATTTTCCAAAAAAGCCAGTCAACCACATAGTTGCAGCTATCGTCTCTGCAGGATCAAGAAGAAGTTGCTGCACAATTGCGCAGGCGCAGTGGCCATGGGCCATGGGGATGATCTGATCTTCGTCTCTTTTTAGAACTCTTTCTATACGCACAAGAAACATCAAGAAACAAGATCAGATGTAGAGGAGTATGTTTGATATGTATTGTAATATAATATGTCTGTCTCTGTATATGCATACATTTTTATTATATATGTAATATAATGTACTGTAATGTGCTGTAATGTAATGTAATGTACTGTAGTGTAATGTAATGTACTGTACTTTACTGTATTGTAGTGATGTAATGTACTGTACTGTAATGTTCTGTAAGTATGTAGATTCTGATGACTTATTCAGAGAATATTTTTTTTTTAACTTAAAAAGTGCTTAAATCCAATCAAAACCCCAGTGACTTAGGACTTGGTGCA